CCCATCCTCCCCGCAGGGCCCTGGCTTCCTTTGCAGCCGCTGAGCTGAGGATGAAGCTGCCTGAGTTAAAAATAGCATCTGCCTCTCTCCCAGCCCTGGGCTGGGCTCTAGGTTTGGGGGGATGGGCTGGTCACACCCTGGGGGGTGGGTGCAGGCTGGGTGAGGGCATGCCAGGCAGGGTGCAGGGATGGGGTGTATGCCAGGTAGGGGACTTCTGTGAGGGATGAGGTCATGCCAACAGGAGGGATACTTGCTAGGCGGGGGTCTCTGTGGGGCTGGTGGGGTGCACGTTAGGCAGGGAGTCTTGGGTTAGTGGGGTGCATGCTAGGCAGAGGGTCTCTGTGGGGTTGGTGGGGTGCATGCTAGGCAGGGGGTCTCTGTGGGGCTGGGGGTGCATGGTAGGCAGGGGGGTCTCTGTGGGGTTGGTGGGGTGCATGGTACGCAGGGGGTCTCTGGGGTTGGGGGTTCATGGTAGGCAGCGGTTGCTGTAGGGCAGAGGGGATGCCAGTTGGATGCCGGGACTGTGCTCAGCTCCGTTCCTGCGGCTCTCTGCAGCGCAAGGGGAATCCCTTGGGGTGAAGGCAGAAGTGAAAGGGCAAGTCCTCAAGCACCAGTGCGTGACGCCATCCCCCAAACTCTCCCACCCCCGTCTCTGCCCGTTCCTGGAAGTCCTGTGATTTCCTCTCTGCAGCTCGCCTGAGCTGCGGGCATAGTTCTAAGTGGCTGTGTGGTGTATAAATAGCCCGTGTTTATTCCTGGCAGGGAAGTGGGGCTGCAGGGAGAAGCAGGGATTTTCCCAGGGCTCGATGGCAAGGGGTTGCTGGGAGAATGCCTGGAGGTTAGAGACACGTGTAGCCCGTCTGTGTTTGTGCAGCGCCTGGCGCGGGGGGCTCCTGCTCTGTGACCTCTCTCTAGCGTCTGTCTGAGCCTGTAGGGGTCACACTCCATGTCGTGTAACTTTTCTCCCAAAAAGCCGCAGGCTAGAACTTCCCTTTTGTAAAATGCACAAGCCGAGCCCCTCCCATCCCATCAGCCTGTGACTCCGGGAGCTGGGGGGTTATGGGACTTCCCCCCGCCTCGGCCCATCTCTCCGAGGGGCTGTGGAGTTAGCAGGGAGCTGTTGGATTCTGCAGCCGCCTGTAGCAATTGCTCAGCTGCTGCAGGATCAGCAGATGGTTCAATAATGTGTGGACCCTTTGGGATCCACCTCTAGCAAACCGCGGGGGGGCTGACCAGGAGCGAGTTCCTGTCGAGCTTCGAGGCTCTTCCCCAGTGTCTGTGAATGCTGAGTCACACGGAACAGGGTTGTTTTTCTGTTTATGCAAAGGGAGAAACACCAAGCCAAAGCCCTGCGTCCTATTTCAGTTTCATCCAAACATTTCTAGGGGAAACACCATTTCCCCCCCTCGCACCCGGGCTGTTTCCTGCCAAGAGAGGGGACGGTGGGAGGGTTTTTCACCTGTGGTGTCAGCCAGGGATCTCAATGCACTTTGCTATACTGCGCCCCCCTGCAGGGGCTGTCACCATACAGAGCGTAAGCCCCCAGCTCTCTAGCTCGGAGACTCGCCACTGCAGGGGCTTTGCCCCATGGGCCCACCCTATGGGACTTACCCTCGTAGGCACATGAAGGCTGGGGAGAGCAGGGGATGGAACTCAGGGTTCCTGAGTCCTAGGCAAGGGCCTAACCATTGGACCATCCTGCCTTCCCTTTGGGAGGGGGTCACTAGCCTGGCATCCTATCACCCTCCCTGCCCAGCGCCTGTGGCCTCTGGTAATGTGCCCCTCAGGGAAGTGTCACCTGAGCCCCCAGTCTCAGGGCCTGCAAGCTGTGGGACTCAGGTTCTCAAAGTTGGGGGTCTCAGTTGGGGGAGTTTTGGGGCCCCACAGCCCAGGAGGGGGCTGGGGGTTCACAGCTGGGGGGTCTCAGCTGGGAGGGGACTCTGGGCCCCCGAGCCTGGGAGGTAGGAATGGGGGGTTCACAGCTGGGGGGTCTTGGGGCCCCAGAGCCCAGGGGGGAGCTGGGGGACCAGGGGTTCACAGTTGGGGGGTGTCTGCTGGAGTTCACAGCTGGGTGTCTCAGGGCCCCAGAACCTGGGGGGAGCTGGAGGACTAGGGGTTCACAGCTGGGGGAGTCTCAGAGCCACAGAGCCAAGGAGGGAGATGGGGAGTGGAGGGATGGGGGAGGTTTTCACAGCTGGGGAGTCTCAGGGCCCCACAGCCTGGGAAGGAGCTGGGGAGGCCAAGGGTCTGGGCTGTGGGGTCCCAGGCCCATGGCACCTTTGGGGGCAGGAGGTGAGAGGCGGATGAGATCTGGGCACACCCGAAGGCTGAAGGTGAAACTGGAGCCCATGGGGGGGGACACACACTGATGCTTGGGGGGAAGAGCCAGTGCTTGTCTGCAGGCAGGACGGGGGTGGTGCGAGAAGGGGGGCTGTGGGGGGATGGGAGCTATGCGGGGACTGCAGGCTCGGGGGATGGGGGGCTGGCTGCAGGCGCAGTGGAGGAGTCGGACTTTGTTCCCACGGGCCAGGCAGCGTGATAAGATAAGGGGACTGCTGCATTCCCAGCCCTGGAGATGGGAGGAGGTGATGGGGGGGCCCTGTGTGAGTGTTTCATTGCTTTGGTATTTCATCTCCTGCACACAGTGAAACTTGGCTCTGATTTCCCCCCACATCAGTGGTGGGGGAGGGGGAACCCTGAGACAGCCCCTCCCCCTGTGAGAGCTGATGGGTTTCGGATCCCATGAGTCACCTGCTGCCATCCCAGCACAGGCCCCAAAGGCTGTACTGCTGCCTTCCCCCCAGTGTCTCAGGAGAGACCTGGCTGTACCCTCAGCAGTGGGGGGCTAGTGGTTACAGCCGAGGAGGGGGCTGCGAGCCAGGACCTCCTGGGTTCTATCCTGGCTCTGGGAGGGGAGAGGTGCTAAGTGCTGAGCATCTGCCCTGTGAAAAACAAGGCTCCCTTTTCAGGAGTGTTGAGGTGGGTGCCCAAAATCACCAGGCACTTTTGGAAATCTCGGCCACTATCTGTAACATGAAAAGGAGGACTTGTGGCACCTCAGAGACTAACAAATTTATCTGAGCATAAGCTTTGCGTGCATCCGATGAAGGGAGCTGTAGCTCACGAAAGCTTATGCTCAAATAATTTTGTGAGTCTCTAAGGTGCCACAAGTCCTCCTTTTCTTTCTGCGGATACAGACTAACGCGGCTGCTACTCTGAAACCTGTCTGTAACATGTGGAGAGTGTTGTTCTTACGCGGGAGGCTCGAGAGGCTCAAGTGTGGGGGCCTCATGTGGTGCCAGGCACTGCACAGACCCCAGCTGAGACGGGGGCTCCGTCAGGCTGGGTACTGAATTGCTCCCGGTCTAAGTAGGGAAGACAGCCAGAGCTCGAGCTCTTATCCCCGTTTCCCAGCTGAGAACTGGCTCCGGAGAGAGGTGGGGACTGGCCCAAGGTTAGCCGGGGAGTCAGCAACAGCTGGGAACAGCACCCAGGAGTCCTGAGACCCAGTCCAGTTGCTTACGCTCTACCTCCCCTCCCCGGCATAGGAGGAGACTCCATTGACGCAAACCAGCAGACTTACAGTTACAAGTGCATGTTAAACCCTCTGCTTTGGGCTATGGGCCAGCTCTCACCTGGTGAGAATTAGGAGGGGCTTTCCCCATGGCCAGGGACCCCCATAACTGCAGGGTTTCCGGGGCAGCCTGTCTCGCTAAGGGAGCCTGACGCCAGGTTGCTGGATGGGGAGAGGCCAGGCCCAGACCAGCCTGTCCCTGCTGGTGCTGAGATCTCTGGCTCCATGGGGGTTTCTGCAACACGGCAACTTGAAAGCCCCCAGCCCCCACCCCCAAGCTAAAATGAAACGGCCTGGCAGCATTCCCAGTTGCTTGTGCATAATGCATGGGGCTGTGTGTAATTCTGGGTTCTCCCCGGAGAGCAGGGGGAAGGGGAGTTTGCAGGCTGGATGCACTGGCTGTCAGAGAAGGGAGAGCGAGCTCCTCACACACCTGCAAGTACAGTGTGGCTTTCTGGGGAGGTGGGAGGTGACGCTCACATCTATAGGGCAGGACCAATGCTCCATCTCGAGAACCGGGAGGTGGGAGCTTTTCTGCACCCCCCCCAAGCCTTGTGCTCAGGAACAGAACCCAGGAGTCGTGGCTCCTGGCCAATGTTCCCTCTAATTTTTGACAGGCAGTGTGCGCAAAAATTTTCTTCTGTGCAAATTTTTGTGCGCGCAGTGTTTCACCATGTGCATGGGGTTCAGGATCTGTGGGCGCGCACACATGCACAGAGCTTAGAGGGAACAGTGCTCCCAGCCCCCCTCCCCCTGCTCTAACCCACTAGACCCCACTCCCCTTCTCAGAGCTGGTAATGGGACCCAGGAGTTCTGCACCCCCCCACCCCCTGCTCCCCAGAGCCATGGGTAGAACCCTGTATCCCAGCCTGCTCACTCTCATGCAATGAACCCTCCCCCTCCCCCCGCAGCCACACTCAGTATAGCATGAGGGAGCGTGGGGAGCGGAGCCAGGCTGGCTGGGGTCAGCTCCTTTGGTGGGGTCCCAGCTGGTCCAGGACCTGGTGCTGGGCCCACAAACTTGCTGCCCCCTGGATAGCTCAGCCTGGCAGCGCCACCTGGTGGGCTCCTGAGGGCTGGGCCAGAGTGAGCAGCTGGGACCCCAGGGGGTCTGGGGGGTGCCTGGCCCAATCCCAATAGGGCACAAGGGGAACGGGTCAGGGGTTAGGGCTGGCCTGAGGGATGGATTAGAGTGAGGGGTAAAGGTTAGATTTCAGTGGAGGGACGGGGGGACTGGAGGGTGGGTGAGGCTGGGGCGGGGGCAGGTCTGTGATGCTGGGGCTATGGACGGGATGCAAGATCCTGAGGAAGGTTCCTCTGTGCCCACGGGACGTCCTGGGTGGTCACAGAGAGGCCAGAGGGTGACAGGCCTTCCCCTGTGGCATTGCCCCTCATCCATTCACGCCCCCCTTCCTCTCTTTCCTAGCCCAGCCCAACATGGATGGCGCGGGCAGCACAGGGGGCATCATCGGTGGCATCATTGCTGCCATCGTGGCCGTGGCCGTGGTGGCCACTGGGGTCCTGATTTTCCGCCAGCAGCAGAAGAATCGCACAGAGCAGGACAACGACGAGTGAGCGACTCGGAGAAAAGCGCGGTGCCCGGGGCGCAGGGATCGGGGAACAGTGCGGTGCCTGGGAGTGCAGGGGTCGGGGTTTGGAGAAAAGCGCGGTGCCTGGAGGCGCAGGGGTTGGGGAACACTGCGGTGCCTGGGGGTGCAGGGGTCGGGGTTTGGAGAATAGCGCGGTGCCCAGGGGCGCAGAGATCGGGGAACAGTGCGGTGTCTGGGGGCACAGGGGTCGGGGTTTGGAGAATAGTGCGGTGCCCAGGGGCGCAGGGGTCGGGGAACAGTGCGGTGCCTGGGGGTGCAGGGGTCGGGGTTTGGAGAAAAGCGCGGTGCCCAGGGGCGCAGAGATCAGGGAACAGTGCGGTGCCTGGGGGTGCAGGGGTCGGGGTTTGGAGAAAAGCGCGGTGCCCAGGGGCGCAGAGATCAGGGAACAGTGCGGTGCCTGGGGGTGCAGGGGTCGGGGTTTGGAGAAAAGCGCGGTGCCTGGGGGCGCAGAGATCGGGGAACAGTGCGGTGCCTGGGGGCACAGGGGTCAGGGTTCAAGGAACAGGGCAGTGTCTGGGGGCACAAGGGTTGGGAAACAGGGCAGTGTCTGGGGGTGCAGGGGTCGGGGTTCGTGGAACAGGGCAGTGTCTGGGAGTTCAGGGGTTGGGATTCAGGGAACAGGGTGGAGCCTGGGGGTGCAGGGGTCGGGGTTTGGAGAATAGCGCGGTGCCTGGGGGTGCAGGGGTCGGGGAACAGTGCGGTGCCTGGGGGTGCAGGGGTCGGGGTTTGGAGAATAGCGCGGTGCCTGGGGGTGCAGGGGTCAGGGAACAGTGCAGTGCCTGGGGGTGCAGGGGTCGGGGTTTGGAGAATAGCGCGGTGCCTGGGGGTGCAGGGGTCGGGGTTTGGAGAAAAGCGCGTGCCGGGGGGGGGTGGGGAACAGTGCGGTGCCGGGGGTGCAGGGGTCGGGGTTTGGAGAAAAGCGCGGTGCCCAGGGGCACAGGGATTGGGGAACAGTGCGGTGCCTGGGGGTGCAGGGGTCGGGGTTTGGAGAAAAGCGCGGTGCCTGGGGGTGCAGGGGTCGGGGTTTAGAGAAAAGCGCGGTGCCTGGGGGTGCAGGGGTCGGGGAACAGTGCGGTGCCTGGGGGTGCAGGGGTCGGGGTTTGGAGAAAAGCGCGGTGCCCAGGGGCGCAGGGATCAGGGAACAGTGCGGTGCCTGGGGGTGCAGGGGTCGGGGTTTGGAGAAAAGCGCGGTGCCCAGGGGCGCAGAGATCGGGGAACAGTGCGGTGCCTGGGGGCACAGGGGTCAGGGTTCAAGGAACAGGGCAGTGTCTGGGGGCACAAGGGTTGGGAAACAGGGCAGTGTCTGGGGGTGCAGGGGTCGGGGTTCGTGGAACAGGGCAGTGTCTGGGAGTTCAGGGGTTGGGGTTCGGGGAACAGGGTGGAGCCTGGGGGTGGAGGGGTAATAGTTTGGGGAACAGGGCAGTGTCTGCGGGCACAGGGTTCAGGAAACAGGGCAGTGTCTGGGGGTGCAGGGGTCGGGGTTCGTGGAACAGGGCAGTGTCTGGGAGTTCAGGGGTTGGGGTTCGGGGAACAGGGTGGAGCTTGGGGGCGCAGGTGTCGGGGTTTGTGGAACAGGGTGGAGCCAGGCAGTGTCTGGGGGCGGAGGGGTCAGGGTTCATGGAACAGGGCAGTGCCTGGGGGCGCAGAGGTTGGGAAAAAAGGTGGTTTCTGGGGGCACAGGGGTTGAGGTTTGGGGAACAGGGCGGTGTCTGGGGGCACGGCGTCGGGGTTTGGGAAAAAGGGTGGAGCTGGGGGCGCAGAGGTCGGGGTTCGGGGAACAGGGCGGTGCCTGGGGGCTCACGGTTTGGGGAACAGGGAAACAGGGCGGTGCGTGGGGGTGCAGGATTTGGGGAAGAGGGTGGTGTCTGGGGCGCAGGGGTCAAGGTTCAGGGAACAGGGCAGTACCAGGGGGCACAGGGGTTGGGGTTTGTGGAACAGGGCACTGTATGGGTCGTAGGCGTCGGGATGTGGGGGTTCGGGGAACAGAGTAGTGTCTGGGGGCACAGGGTTTGGGGAATAGGGCAATGTGGGGACCCATGGGTCAGTGTTCGGGGAACAGGGCAGGGTCTGGGGTGCAAGGGTTGGAGTTCAGGGAACAGGGCGGTGTCTGGATGCGCAGGGGTCAGCATTCGGGGAACACGGCAGTGTCTGGGGGGGAACAGGGCGGTGTCTGGGCGTACAGGGGTCAGGTTTTCGGAAATGGTGGTTCCTGGGGGTCCAGGGGTAGGGGTTTGGGGAACAGGGCAGTGTCTGGGGGTAGAGGGATTGGCATTCATGGAATAGGACAGTGTTTGGGGGTGCAGGGGTCAGGGAACAGGGCAGTACCTGGAGCGCAGGGGTCAGGGTTTGGGGGGTCAGGGAACAGGGCGGTGTCTGGGAGCACAGGGGTCAGGGTTTGGGGAACAGAGCGGTGTCTGGGTGTGCAGGGGTCGGGGTTTGGGCAGGAAGATCAGGGGAGGGGGCTCGGAGAGCATCCAAGAATCAGAGCTTGGGGGATGGAATCTGGGGGTCAGAGGTAAGGAGGGGGTTTGGGGGTTCTGAGGGGTGAAGGACGAGGAAGTGAGGAAGGGGAGAGGGTCAGTGTGGGGGAAGGGTGATGAGGGTCTGGAAGACGATTTGGGTAGGGGGTCAGGGACATGCTTTCTCCTCCTTGCCCCCACCCACAATAACCTCTCTGCCTTCAACTTCCCTGCCCCCTAGCCTGGATGCGCCCCCAGCATACAAGCCGCCCCCTCCCCAGAAGAAGATTGAGGACCCTGAGCTGGTAGGTGCCACATCTCTACTACCTCCAGGGGGCAGGGGGGATGTATCTAGCGGGGAGCAAGGAGCCAGGACTCCTGGGTTCTCTCCCTGGCTCAGATGAGCAGCTCAGCACATTGCTGGCTCTGGCCGGGTCATAGAATCATAGAATATCAGGGTTGGAAAGGACCTCAGGAGGTCATCTAGTCCAACCCCCTGCTCAAAGCAGGACCAATCCCCAATTAAATCATCCCAGCCAGGGCTTTGTCAAGCCTGACCTTAAAAACTTCTAAGGAAGGAGATTCTACCATCTCCCTAGGTAACGCTTTCCAGTGTTTCACCACCCTCCTAGTGAAAAAGTTTTTCCTAATATCCAACCTAAACCTCCCCCACTGCAACTTGAGACCATTACTCCTTGTCCTGTCCTCTTCTACCACTGAGAATAGTCTAGGTCCATCCTCTCTGGAACCCTCTTTCAGGTAGTTGAAAGCAGCTATCAAATCCCCCCTCATTCTTCTCTTCTGCAGACTAAACATCCCCAGTTCCCTCAGTCTCTCCTCACAAGTCATGTGTTCCAGTCCCCTAATCATTTTTGTTGCCCTTCGCTGGACTCTCTCCAATTTTTCCACATCCTTCTTGTAGTGTGGGGCCCAAAACTGGACACAGTCCTCCAGATGAGGCCTCACCAATGTCGAATAGAGGGGGACGATCACGTCCCTCGATCTGCTTGCTATGCCCCTACTTATACATCCCAAAATGCCATTGGCCTTCTTGGCAACAAGGGCACACTGCTGACTCATATCCAGCTTCTCGTCCACTGTCACCCCTAGGTCCTTTTCCGCAGAACTGCTGCTGAGCCATTCGGTCCCTAGTCTGTAGCGGTGCATGGGATTCTTCCGTCCTAAGTGCAGGACCCTGCACTTATCCTTGTTGAACCTCATCAGATTTCTTTCAGCCTGTCACGGAGTCCCTGGGCGATGCTCTGGAACTGCTCCCCATGAAGTCAGTCAGGACTCTGGGGTAGTCGCCTTTCTGTGAGCAACCTGTCTTCAGGACACACAGCTCACACAGCTTCCACCTTCCTGGGTCTGACCTCGGAGCATTCAGCATCCTCTGCCTCTCCGTGCGCTTCCCACAGCGAGTCCGCTCAGGCGGTGCTCCTGGGGAAGCCAGAGGGTCCTGCACCCCAACTTCGCAGTCAGACGTGACTCTCAGCCAGCCAGTAAAACAGAAGGTTTATTAGACTACAGGAACATGGTCTAAAACAGAGCTTGCAGGTGCAGAGAACGGGACCCCTCAGCTGGGTCCATTCTGGGGGGCAGTGAGCCAGACAACCACGTCTGCACTTCACTCCATGTCCCAGCCAGCCCCAAACTGAAAAACCCTCCAGCCCCTCCTCCTCTGGGCTTTGTTCCTTTCCCGGGCCAGTAGGTCACCTGATTCCTTTGTTCTCCAACCCTTCAGCTCTCACCTTGCAGGGGGGGAAGGGCCCAGGCCATCAGTTGCCAGGAAACAGGGTGTCGGCCATTCTCTGTGTCCAGACTCCTGCACACACATGCCCTCTAGGGCACTGCAATGATCATACACCCTTACCCCACCACCTAGATACTTAAGAACTGCCTAGGGGAAACTGAGGCACCCCCACACTATTCAGAGGAAACATTAAGAACAGTCCCACTTCGTCACACAGCCCAATCCTCCAATTTGTCTAGGTCCCTCTGTATCCTATCCCTGCCCTCCAGCGTCTCTACCACTCCTCCCAGTTTAGTATTGTTCGCAAATTTGCTGAGGGTGCAATCCACACCATCCTCCAGATCATTTATGAAGATATTGAACAAAACCGGCCCCAGAACCGACCCCTGGGGCACTCCACTTGACACCAGCTGCCAACTAGACATGGAGCCATTGATCACTACCCATTGAGCCCGACAATCTAGCCAACTTTCTACCCACCTTATAGTGCATTCATCCAGCCCATACTTCTTTAACTTGCTGACATGAATACTGTGGGAGACCGTGTCAAAAGTTTTGCTAAAGTCAAGAAACAATACATCCACTGCTTTCCCTTCATCCACAGAACCAGTAATCTCATCATAGAAGGCGATTAGATTAGTCAGGCATGACCTTCCCTTGGTGAATCCATGCTGACTGTTCCTGATCACTTTCCTCTCATGTAAGTGCTTCAGGATTGATTCTTTGAGGACCTGCTCCATGATTTTTCCAGGGACTGAGGTGAGGCTGACTGGCCTGTAGTTCCCAGGATCCTCCTTCTTCCCTTTTTTAAAGATTGGCACTACATTAGCCTTTTTCCAGTCATCCGGGACTTCCCCCGTTTGCCACGAGTTTTCAAAGATAATGGCCAATGGCTCTGCAATCACAGCCGCCAATTCCTTTAGCACTCTCGGATGCAACTCGTCCGGCCCCATGGACTTGTGCACGTCCAGCTTTTCTAAATAGTCCCTAACCACCTCTTTCTCCACAGAGGGCTGGCCATCTATTCCCCATGTTGTGATGCCCAGCGCAGCAGTCTGGGAGCTGACCTTGTTCGTGAAGACAGAGGCAAAAAAAGCATTGAGTACATTAGCTTTTTCCACATCCTCTGTCACTAGGTTGCCTCCCTCATTCAGTAAGGGGCCCACACTTTCCTTGGCTTTCTTCTTGTTGCCAACGTACCTGAAGAAACTCTTCTTGTTACTCTTGACATCTCTCGCTAGCTGCAGCTCCAGGTGCGATTTGGCCCTCCTGATTTCATTCCTACATGCCCGAGCAATATTTTTATACTCTTCCCTGGTCATATGTCCAACCTTCCACTTCTTGTAAGCTTCTTTTTTATGTTTAAGATCCGCTAGGATTTCACCGTTAAGCCAAGCTGGTCGCCTGCCATATTTACTATTCTTTCGACACATCGGGATGGTTTGTCCCTGTAACCTCAACAGGGATTCCTTGAAATACAGCCAACTCTCCTGGACTCCTTTCCCCTTCATGTTAGTCCCCCAGGGTATCCTACCCATCCGTTCCTTGAGGGAGTCGAAGTCTGCTTTCCTGAAGTCCAGGGTCCGTATCCTGCTGCTTACCTTTCTTCCCTGTGTCAGGATTCTGAACTCAACCAACTCATGGTCACTGCCTCCCAGATTCCCATCCACTTTTGCTTCCCCCATTAATTCTTCCCAGTTTGTGAGCAGCAGGTCAAGAAAAGCTCCCCCCCCCTAGTTGGCTCCTCTAGCACTTGCACCAGGAAATTGTCCCCTACGCTTTCCAAAAACTTCCTGGATTGTCTATGCACTGCTGTATTGCTCTCCCAGCAGATATCAGGAAAATTAAAGTCACCCATGAGAACCAGGGCGTGCGATCTAGTAGCTTCTGCGAGCTGCCAGAAGAAAGCCTCGTCCACCTCATCCCCCTGGTCCGGTGGTCTATAGCAGACTCCCACCACTACATCACTCTTGTTGCTCACACTTCTAAACTTAATCCAGAGACACTCAGGTTTTTCTGCAGTTCGTACCGGAGCTCTGAGCAGTCATACTGCTCCCTTACATACAGTGCTACTCCCCCACTTTTCTGCCCTGCCTGTCCTTCCTGAACAGTTTATATCCATGCATGACAGTACTCCAGTCATGTGAGTTATCCCACCAAGTCTCTGTTATTCCAATCACGTCATAATTCCTTGACATCACCAGGACCTCCAGTTCTCCCTGCTTGTTTCCAAGGCTTTGTGCATTTGTATATAGGCACTTGAGATAACCTGCTGATCACCCCTCATTCTCAGTATGAGGCAGGAGCCCTCCCCTCACAGACATTCCTGCCTGTGCTTCCTCCCGGTATCCCGCTTTCCCACTTACCTCAGGGCTTTGGTCTCCTTCCCCCGGTGAACCTAGTTTAAAGCCCTCCTCACTAGGTTAGCCAGCCTGCTCGCAAAGATGCTCTTCCCTCTCTTCGTAAGGTGGAGCCCGTCTCTGCCCAGCACTCCTCCTTCATGGAACACCATCCCATGGTCAAAGACAGAGGCAAAAAAAGCATTGAGTACATTAGCTTTTTTCACATCCTCTGTCACTAGGTTTGCAAAAAGAAAAGGAGTACTTGTGGCACCTTAGAGACTAACCAATTTATTTGAGCATGAGCTTTCGTGAGCTACACGAAAGCTCATGCTCAAATAAATTGGTTAGTCTCTAAGGTGCCACAAGTACTCCTTTTCTTTTTGCAAATACAGACTAACACGGCTGTTCCTCTGAAACCTGTCACTAGGTTGTCTCCCTCATTCAGTAAGAGGCCCACACTTTCCTTGACTTTCTTCTTGTTGCCAACATACCTGAAGAAACCCATCTGGTTACTCTTAACATCTCTTGCTAGCTGCAACTCCAGGTGTGATTTGGCCTTCCTGATTTCACTCCTGCAAGCCCGAGCAACATTTTTATACTCTTCCCTGGTCATTTGTCCAATCTTCCACTTCTTGTGAGCTTCTTTTTTGTGTTTAAGATCAGCAAGGATTTCACTGGTTTCAGAGTAACAGCCGTGTTAGTCTATATTCGCAAAAAGAAAAGGAGTACTTGTGGCACCTTAGAAACTAACCAGTTTATTTGAGCATAAGCTTTCGTGAGCTACAGTTCACTTCATCGGATGCATACTGTGGAAAGTGTAGAAGATCTTTTTATATACACACAAAGCATGAAAAAATACCTCCTCCCACCCCACTCTCCTGCTGCTAATAGCTTATCTAAAGTGGTCACTCTCCTTACAATGTGTATGATAATCAAGTTGGGCCATTTCCAGCACAAATCCAGGTTTTCTCACACCCCCCGCCACACACACACACAAACCCACTCTCCTGCTGGTAATAGCTTATCTAAAGTGACCACTCTCCTTACAATGTGTATGATAATCAAGGTGGGCCATTTCACTGTTAAGCCAAGCTGGTCGCCTGTCATATTTACTATTCTTTCTACATATCGGGATGGTTTGTTCCTGTAACCTCAATAAGGATTCTTTAAAATACAGCCAGCTCTCCTGGACTCCTTTCCCCCTCCTGTTATTCTCCCAGGGGATCCTACCCATCAGTTCCCGGAGGGAGTCAAAGTCTGCTTTTCTGAAGTCCAGGGTCCATATTCTGCTGCTCTCCTTTCTTCACTTTGTCAGGATCCTGAACTCGACCATCTCATGGTCACTGCTTCCCAGGTTCCCATCCACTTTAGTTTCCCCTACTAATTCTTCCCGGTTTGTGAGCAGCAGGTCAAGAAGAGTTCTGCCCCTAGTTGGTTCCTCCGGCACTTGCACCAGGAAATTATCCCCTACACTTTCCAAAAACTTCCTGGATTGTCTGTGCACCACTGTATTGCTCTCCCAGCAGATATCAGGGTGATTGAAGTCTCCCATGAGAACCAGGGCCTGCGATCTAGTAACTTCCGTGAGTTGCCAGAAGAAAGCCTCGTCCACCTCATCCCCCTGGTCCAGTGGTCTATAGCAGACTCCCACCACGACATCACCCTTGTTGCTCACACTTCTAAACTTAATCCAGAGACTCTTAGGTTTTTCTGCAGTTTCATACCGGAGCTCTGAGCAGTCATACTGCTCCCTTACATACAGTGCTACTCCCCCACCTTTTCTGCCCTGCCTGTCCTTCCTGAACAGTTTATATCCATCCACGACAGTACTCCAGTCACGTGAGTTATCCCACCAAGTCCCTGTTATTCCAATCACATCATAATTCCTTGACTGTGCCAGGACTTCCAGTTCTCCCTGCTTGTTTCCCAGGCTTCTTGCATTTGTGTAAAGGCACTTGAGATAACTCGCTGATCGTCCCTCTTTCTCAGTATGAGGCAGGAGCCCTGCCCTCTCGCCTGCTCCTGCTCGTGCTTCCTCCCGGTATCCCACTTCCCCACTTATCTCAGGGCTTTCGTCTCCTTCCCCCGGTGAACCTAGTTTAAAGCCCTCCTCACTAGGTTAGCCAGCCTGCTTGGAAAGATCCTCTTCCCTTTCATGTGCTGGTTCGTTCCAGGTCTCTAATCCCCCCGAGGTTGAGGTTGAGAATATCCCACTGAAAGCTGCCTACTTCGAGCCCAGCATTGCAGTGGATCCCCAAGAGCCGGTAATTACTGCGGGGGAGGGAGGGGATGCGAGGGGGCAGGGTCTTGGGCAGGGGGATCAGGTGCCCAATCCTCTCAACTAGGATTATCCCTGATAAGAACATCCAGGACGGATCAGAAACTCCTCTGGGAACCCCTGCCCCAGGTCTAACCAAAACACCCCTCTCCCCTTTGAGAGCTGAGGACATAACCCAGGAGTCCTGGCTCCCAGCCCCCACTGCTCTAACCCACCAGACCCCACTCCCTCCCAGCGCTGGGGATAGAACTCAGGAGTCCTGACTCCTAGACACCCCCCCACCGCTGCTCTAACCACAAGACTCCACTCTCCTCCAAGAGTCAGGGATAGAATCCCAGAGTCCTAGCTCCCAGAATCTCTACTTTAACCCACTAGACCCCACTCCTGTCCCACAGCTAGGCATAGAACCCAGGAGTCCTGGCTCCCAGCCCTCACTGCTCTAACCCACTAGTCCATCTGTCTTTCTGTGAGCACAGAGGATCCCCTAGGGGTCGGTGACCTTGCTGCCCACCCCATCTGTCCATCCATCTCCTTGCAGGACCTACCACGGTACCACGAGCTGCCTACGTTGGAGGACAAGGAGCCAGCAACGATGGGGCCCAGCCTGGAGGACGAATACCTGGACCAGATCAACCCAATCTATGACGCCCTGTCCTTCGCCTCAGGGGAGGGTGTCCCCGAGCAGGGCTTCATTATGTCCCGGGCCTTATACGTCTGACAGCTTGGCACAGATGGACTCGTGTCTCCCTGGATAGACAGACAGCTCCCTTCCCCACTCCCTGCAGCTCCCCCGGCCCTGTACATGAGACCCCAACCGAGGTGCTCCCTGGGGTTTTGGGGAAGTTCTCTGGCCTGTTATATGGGACATCAGGCTAGATGATCCCAATGGGCCCTTCTGGCCTTGAAATCTATTAGTCCCCACCCCCACCACTCCCTGGGATCCCCCAGCTCAGACAGACACATGGCTTCCTTCCCCACCCCCACAGCTCTCTGGGATCCCCAGTCTCGGACAGACACATGACTCTCCGGACTCTCCACCCCCACTGCTCCCTGAGCCCTGTATGTCTGAGATTACCCCCACCCAGATGGACACAGGGGGCCCCCCTTGACTTTCTAGGCAGACACCTGGCTCTGCCCACGGCTCCCTGGACTGACACTGGTGCCTGGCTCACAACCCCAACTGGGCTCCTGTCCTGTCTGCTCCCAGTGGGGTCAGTGAGGCTACAGCCCTCAGCAGGTCTGGGGGGGTCTGGCTTGAGGGGGGGGAGCAGGGTGTTGGGGCCTGGAGGCCTCAGTGCTAGAAGTCTGGATTTGCCAAAGGTCAGAACTCATCCTCCCCCTCTCCATGCCAGGGGAACAGTCTCTCCTTGCCTTCTGTCGGAGTCATGATGGGGCGGGAGGCAGCATCTTCCCCTGGCCTGGCACAAGGGTGACTTTAGTTACTGTAGGAGCAGCTCCCTGCTGCTGCCGCTAGTGGGTGGGGTTGTGTGAGTGGGGATGGGTGAGAGGCTGGGGGAATAGGGAGTGCTCCCTTTCTCGCTGTGGGGCTGGTTCCTTGTCCACACACCGGTGGGTCAGCCCATTCACTACTACAAGGAGCTGCCCTATTGCAAGGAGCAAGTGTGGGGAGGGTGCAACCCCAGCCTGGATTCTCTACTTGCATTTCATCATTGGCTCAGACAGGATCCCTGCCTCAGCGACTCCCCAGCCCAGCTGGGTCGGGGGCCCTGCCATCAATCCCTCCTCCCTCCTGCTTCTGGGCCCTGCCCTGGTCCCCGCTGTACAACCACCTTCCATGGGGTATCTGAGAATGTGAAGGGTTTTTTTGTGTTACTAACTTGATTGGTCTCTAAATAAATCCACCGCTGTTGCTGCTTCTTTCTCCCTCCCCACCGGTGTCAAATTAAAGATGGGGGGTTAGCAACTTCTCTTTGTGCCTTTGCAGACATCCTGAGTGAACAGGGTGATTAGTGCCTTCGGAACCACTACTGAGCGACTGGGTCTGGGGCTTTAGCTGCTGCCCTGGTGCCTTCGGACCCGCCACTGAGCGACTGGGTCTGGGTCTGGGGCTTTAGCTGCTGCCCTGGTGCCTTCGGACCCACTCCTGAGCGACTGGGTCTGGGGCTTTAGCTGCTGCCCTGGTGCCTTCGGACCCGCTCCTGAGCGACTGGGTCTGGGGCTTTAGCTGCTGCCCTGGTGCCTTCGGACCCGCTCCTGAGCGACTGGGTCTGGGGCTTTAGCTGCTGCCCTGGTGCCTTCGGACCCGCCCCTGAGCGACTGGGTCTGGGGCTTTAGCTGCTGCCCTGGTGCCTTCGGACCCGCCACTGAGCGACTGGGTCTGGGGCTTTAGCTGCTGCCCTGGTGCCTTCGGACCCGCTCCTGAGCGACTGGGTCTGGGGCTTTAGCTGCTGCCCTGGTGCCTTCGGACCCGCCACTGAGCGACTGGGTCTGGGGCTTTAGCTGCTGCCCTGGTGCCTTCGGACCCGCTCCTGAGCGACTGGGTCTGGGGCTTTAGCTGCTGCCCTGGTGCCTTCGGACCCGCTCCTGAGCGACTGGGTCTGGGGCTTTAGCTGCTGCCCTGGTGCCTTCGGACCCGCCACTGAGCGACTGGGTCTGGGGCTTTAGCTGCTGCCCTGGTGCCTTCGGACCCGCCACTGAGCGACTGGGTCTGGGGCTTTAGCTGCTGCCCTGGTGCCTTCGGACCCGCCACTGAGCGACTGGGTCTGGGGCTTTAGCTGCTGCCCTGGTGCCTTCGGACCCGCTCTGAGCGACTGGGTCTGGGGCTTTAGCTGCTGCCCTGGTGCCTTCGGAACCACTCCTGAGCGACTGGGTCTGGGGCTTTAGCTGCTGCCCTGGTGCCTTCGGAACCACTACTGAGCGACTGGGTCTGGGGCTTTAGCTGCTGCCCTGGTGCCTTCGGACCCGCTCCTGAGCGACTGGGTCTGGGGCTTTAGCTGCTGCCCTGGTGCCTTCGGAACCACTACTGAGCGACTGGGTCTGGGGCTTTAGCTGCTGCCCTGGTGCCTTCGGACCCGCCACTGAGCGACTGGGTCTGGGTTGGGGATTTGTTTTTTGTATTTTCTGTTTCTTAAAATAAATGTTTCTAAACCAGAGCTGGTGGCATGTCTCCCTCTGGGGATGGGAACAGCTGCAAGAGCTGCTGCCTTGGGAGTGGGGGAGGGCAGTGGGGAGGGCCTTGAAACTGCCATCCGTGGTGGGGGAGGGCGGGGGCAAGGCTCAGGCCCAGCATCCCCCTGGAGCACCCGCCAGGAATATCCTGTGCTGGGGCTGGAGGCTGCCATGCGCTGGGGGGGCAAGAAACTGACATCCGGGGGGGGGTCTGGGCGCTGCCATGCGCTGGGGGTGGGGCTGGGCACTGACATTTTGGGGGGGGGGGCAAGAAACTGACATGGGGGGGGACTGGGTGCTGCCATGCGCTGGGGGGGGGGACTGGGCACTGACATTTTCAGGAGGGGGCAAGAAACTGACGTCCGGGGGGGGGTCTGGGCGCTGCCATGCGCTGGGGGGGGGGGCTGGGCACTGACATTTTTGGGGGGGGGGCAAGAAACTGACATGGGGGGGACTGGGCACTGACATTTTCGGGGGGGGGGGGCAAGAAACTGACATGGGGGGGACTGGGCACTGACATTTTCTGTGGGGGGGGGCAAGAAACTGACGTCCGGGGGGGGGACTGGGCGCTGCCACGCGCTGGGGGGGGCAAGAAACTGACATCCGCTGAGGGGGAGCCTGGACACCGCCAGCCTCTGGGGCGGACACTGGGATCCAGGCCCCGGCAGGTTCCCTCGCTCCCGCCCCCCATACCTGGGGGGGTGGGCTGGAAACCCCACCCTCGGGGGGCGGAGTTGGTATCTGGCTCCGCCTCCAAAATGGCGACGCCACCGCACGCGCGCCCCCGCAGACTCTATGGCTGCCGCGGTGCATGCCGGGACCATGCCACAGCTCTGACCTTGCGGCCGCACCGTGCAACCAAACTTGCTGCCCTCGGGCCCCGCCCCTGGGAGGGCGGCCAATCAGGAGCAGCTCCTGGGCCTGGCCTCGCCTCCGGCCAACGGGAAGGCGGCATGGGAAAGGGGCGAGGCACGGTGACACAGTGGCCAATAGATGTGGTATCGCGGAGAGAGGCGGGTCATACGCAGGTCTGTCCAATAGCGATGGCTCATAAGGGCGGGGTCCGTGGAGACTCTACCCAATGACGATCCGCCATACGCCGGAACAGGCGGGACATGGAGGGGCAACAGCCCATGAGGTCAGGGAAACCCGGAAGTAGGCGGAGCTTTCTCTACCCTTAGCCAATGGATATACGCGATAGAGGCGGAAGGGGCGGAGTCTAGGTCGGCGCTGGCCAATGGCAGCGTGGAGGGGGCGGAGCTGAGGCTGCGGTGCAGGCGGGTTCGGGTGTCTCCCGGCTCCGGCTGCCGCTGCTGCTGCCGCCGCCGCCTCGTGAGTCTGGGGCCAGGTGGGACTGGCGGGTATCGGGACAGGCGGGCGCTGGAGGGGCGGTGGCGCGATAGGTGGCCCCCGGGAAGGTACCGGCGGGGGATCGGGGCGGGGGGGTCGGTGAGGGGGTTGGGGGGGATCGGGATCGGGGCGGGGGGGTGTGGTGGGGGGGTCGGTGGTGGGACTGTGGGGGGGGAGATCGGGGGGTGGGCGGGGGGGGGCGGGGGGTGGTGGGGGTGTGGGGGGATCGGGGGGGGGGGTCGGTGGGGGTGTGGGGGCGTCGGGTGTGTGTGTGTGGGGGGGTCGGGGCGGGGGGGTCGGTGGGGGACTGTGGGGGGGATCGGGGTGGGGGTCGATGGGTGTTTGTGTGGGGGGGCGGTATCAGGGGCATGGGGACGGGTGGGATTGAGGGGTGCTGGGCTGGTGGGGTCACTGTTGAGGCAGGTGGACCCTGGCAGTGGCAGGTGTCTGGGGGGGCAGGTAGCTCTTGGAGTACACGAGGGGGTATCAGAAGGGATGGGTTGTTAGTGGGGTAGATACCCCCATCAGGGGAATTGGGGTGTTGTAATAGTCAGACCCCACTCGGGGTAGGGTGCATTAAGTGAGCTGTGGGGAGCCAGTGTCAAGAGGGGCATTGTGGCAGATGTACTTGGAGCTTGTTGGTATTGCAGGCAGGTGGATCCTGTTGTGGGGGGGGTTATTGAGGTTGTCGGACTCAGGAGGGAGTATTGGAGGGTGGGGGTCACTGGAGGACGGGGGGACAGATGGACCTGGGGATATTTGGGGTCTGTTGGAGACCAGTATCAGGGCAGCCTGTGGGAGGTATCAGTGTGGGGTGCATATCCTGGATAGATGGGGTGGTATGGATTGTGGGATATTCAAGGCATGGGGGATATGTTGGGAGGTATCTGGAGCCGCTCACCCCTTCTCAACACTGCTATCTGTTCTGCTCTCCACAGCCCCCCACCATGGGTAACGTCCTGGCTGCCAGCTCCCCCACACCCTCCCCCACCATGCCGAGTCCTGGCTCTGGGCTGGTGTCAGTGCCGCCTGGCTTCACCATGCCCCCCGTCAGTGGGCTGGGCCCCCCTGCGCAGGAGCGGCTGGAGGAGAAGGGGGATCGGCTGCCCAATCCTGGCACCTTTGAGGAATGTCACCGCAAGTGCAAAGGTGAAAGCCTAGCACCCACTGTCCATACACCCCCCCCCACCTCAGTCCTGGCACCTTCAAAGAATGTCACCCCCAGTGCAGAGGTTGGGAGCACAGCAAGGGGGAACCTCAGTACACAGCCAGGTGGACAGGTCCCTGGGGGAGCGGGGTACCAGGCTGGACAGCCCAGGGGTCTGATTGGGGGAATGGAGTTACCAACAGGCTGGAGGGGCCCATGGGGTGAACGCATGCTGGGCTGGATGGGCTCAGTGCTGACTGTTGCTGTCTCTTCCCCAGAATTGTTCCCTATCCAGATGGAGGGTGTGAAACTGACAGTGAATAAAGGTCTTAGCAACCATTTCCAGGTAAGGGCTATGCCCTCTGGTGAGGCAGGGTTCGGGGTGGAGTGGGGTGAGGCTGTAGCCCAGGAGGAATGTGGGGGCTGAGCAGGCTGGGCAGAGACATGCCTGCAGGGGGGTGGGGGGGCGTGTGTGCAGATTGAGGGCAGCTGGCTTCAGCAGTGTTACTGAGCATTTTCTACAAGCCAAGCAGTAAATGTGGTGGGGGCACGTGACCCTGAACCTCCTGATCCCATGTGTCGCGTATGGGGCTGGGTGAGGCTGTGGGTTGGTGCTTTCTGTCTGAAATACTTATCTGACGCCCATCACCACTGTATCTGACTCTTTGCAGTCTAATGCATTCATCCCTATGCTTCCTGGGACGCAGGCAAGGTGACTGTCCACATGTGAGATGGGAGCCAAGGCCCAGAGAGATGCAGTCACTTTAGGGACCGGGACCTGGACCTGGGTCTCCCATGCCAGTGCCCCTGGGTTGCCCTTCCCCTCTTGCTGCGGGCATAGAACCATGTGGCTAGAAGGGACTGCAAGGGTCGTCTCGTGTAGGGGTTCTCAACTTTTCTGTTTCTGAGGCCCCCCCCAACAGGCTATAAAAATTCCATGGCCTGTCTGTGCCACAACTGGTTTTCTGCATATAAAAGTCAGGGCCAGTGTTGGGGGTAACAAGCAGTGCAGTTGTCCTGGGTCCCAAGCCACAGGGGGCCCCGTGCAGCCAAATTGCTCAGGCTTTGGCTTCAGCCCCGGGCCTCAACAAGTCTAATGCCGGCTCTGCTTGGCGGACACCCTGAAACCTGCTCGCGGCTCCCCAGTGGGCCCCAGACCCCTGGTTGAGAACCACTAGTCTAGTGCAACCCCTGCCAAGACGCAGGATTTGGTGGGCCCTGCTTACTCTGCTTGCTCTCCCCAGGTGAATCACAGCGTTGCCCTCAGCACTGTTGGCGACTCCAATTACCACTTCGGGGTCACCTACGTGGGCACCAAGCAGCTCAGCCCCACAGAGGTGAGTGCCGGGGGGGTGGACTTAGCCGGCTGGCAGCCAGCGCTGAGGAGTCACCTCTGATGGTGGGAGAGGGGCAGTGTGTGTTTGCGGGGAGTGTTGTTAATCTGGACATTGGGGTTGGAGCTGTCAATTCAGAAAGTGGGGAAGTTTGCGGTGAGGCAGGCTTCTCTGGGTGGGGGTGTGGCAGAGGGATGCTGTTGCCCTGATATGGGGGAGGGGATGTTACTCGGCTGGATTTCAACCCTCATGCCCCTTTCAGGCCTTCCCGGTGCTGGTGGGCGACATGGACAACAGCGGCAGCCTCAACGCCCAGATCATCCACCAGCTCTCGACCCGGCTGCGCTCTAAGGTGGCCTTCCAGGTATGTCGTGCACTGCGGGTTCTTCTCTCAGCTCTCCCCTTCACGTGTGTGTGTGTGTGTGTGTGTGTGTGTGTGTGTGTCAGAGCATCTGTGTGTTCCCCCACCCCACCCTGTGGGTCCTTATCTCAGCCTGCTCCTTTGTGGGGTGCGCGTGTGTCAGAGCATCAATGTATTCTTTTCTCCCACCCCCTTCCCCCGCAGGTCTTTCTCTCAGTCCTCTCCTTTGCAGGGGGCAGGGTGGTGGGGGTGTCGGCATCTGTGTATGTCGCCCGCAAGTCCTTCTCTCAACCCTCATCCCTTTGCGGGGCGGATCAGAGCTTCTGTGTATACCCCTGTCAGAGTCCCTGCTGGGGAGGGGAGTGCAGTGTGGCTGCTCCTTCACAGTTTAAGGTAGTGGTGTTACCTGGTAAAAGGTAGCAGGGATGTCAGGGGCGGATTTAGAGTTAGTGGGGCCTTGTGCACAGCTTCATTTTCAGGGGCCCCACCTTGGGACCCAGCCAAGAAAAAGAACATTCTCTCTTCTCTCTCACCCCCCCCCCCCCATTTTTCATTCTTTTTTTATTCATCCTTTTCCTATATTATAACTAATATGAAGTACATGAAACTAGTGAGGTATCTTGGTTGGGGTTGGGGTGCAGGAGGGGTCATGGGGATTGGGCTCTGGGAGGGAGTTTGGGTGCTGAGTGCAGGCTCTGGGCAGGGGGTTGGGATGCGGAAAGGGTCGGGGGGCGGCGCGGCTCCCAAACCGACTAGCACATCCCTCTGGCAGCGGCTTCTAGGCAGGGGGGTCAGGGGGTCTCGTGCACCACTGCCCGCAGGTGCCGCCCCCGCAGCTCCCATTGGCCATAGTTCCTAGTCAATGGGAGCTGCGGAGTCAGCGCTTGGGGCAGGGGCAATGCGCAGAGACGCCCACACACACAGACCCCAGGACCACAGGGATATGCCGGCCGCTTCCAGGAGCGGCGTGGAGGGAGGGAGGCAGCGCTGTGCTGCTGCTGGCAAGTCTCTGTGCCCCTTGGGGGGAGAAGGGCAGTGGGTCTCTGTGCGCTGCCTGGGGCGGGGCCAGGGCGCAGAGCCACCTCCCCCTGCCAGGGACACGCAGAGATGTGCCAGCTGCTTCTGGGAGCGGCGTGGGGCCACCGGCCACAGAACGCAGGCAGCCTGCCTGAGCCCTGCTGCGCTGCCAGCCAGGACTCAGGGGCAGGTTGTCAGATGAGATTTGTCCTGCATTTTGGGGGCCCCAAGCCACCGCACTGTTTGTTTCATGGTAAATCTGCCTCTGGGGGATGTTTGCCTCCTGGAGGTCGCCCCAGTCTTGCCATGTCCCCACACTCTCATTCCAGACGCAGCAGTCCAAGTTCGTGAACTGGCAGGTGGATGGAGAGTATCGGGGGGAGGATTTCACGGCGGCTGTGACGCTGGGAAACCCCGACATCCTGGTGGGCTCAGGTGAAAGCCCATTCCCACCTCTGAAGCTCCTGCCCTGAAATTCCACCCTGTCTCTGAAGTCCCACACCAGCTTGACCCTAGCCTCCCCTTCTCCATTCCCAGCCCCTGCCACCTCCACTTCCGCAACCTGGCCCCTGCCTACCATCACCACTAGTCTGAACCCTGCTCCTCGTAACCCCCTGGGCCCAGCCCCAGCTGACCAGTCTCTTTTCACAGGGATCCTGGTAGCCCATTACCTGCAGAGCATCACACCCTGCCTGGCGCTGGGCGGCGAGCTGGTCTATCACCGCCGGCCAGGAGAGGAGGGCACAGTCATGTCTCTGGCTGGGAAATATACAGGTACTCAGGGAACTGGGGCAGGACACAGACAGCAGCCAGGACTTCTGGGTTATAGGCCTAGCTGCAGCAGGGTGGTGGGGTTTAATGGGTTAGAGCAGGGGGGCTAGGAGTTGAGACTCCTGGGTTCTCTTCCCTAGCTTAGGGCTTTGGTGGGGGCCCTACTCGGACACTCACCCACTCTTCCCTTCTCCTGACAGCACCTAACTGGATTGGGACCTTGACGGTGGGGCAAGCCGGGGCCCATGCAACCTACTACCATAAAGCCAATGACCAGGTATGTGGCGCTCAGAGGCCCACATTCCCTTCAGGCTCCCCCTCTGACATGAGGGCAGGGGCTTTGGCTCCCAGACTGGGAGCAAGGTGTAGGGGCAGGTGAAGTGAGTGGCGAGCTATGTATAGGAGATGTGCTGGGGTGCACACCTGAGAGCCTGGAGAGGCGAAGGAGTGGGCGGTGTCCTGCCCCAGGAACAGATATGCTGGTCCCAATTGCCTGCAAACCTGGAGGCTGCCATCCCATTGGGGAAGGCTGGGGGCTGGGTTTGGGTGGTGGGGACTGGGATTACGTTGTAAGTGGGTGGTCGGGGATAGTGTTCGGGGAGGGTGGGATCACATTGGCAGGGGTGGAAGCCGGGGGCTGGGGTCCTACCGGGCGATTGGCAGCTCTGCTCACCAGACTGACCCCGCTCCCCTCAGCTGCAGGTGGGCGTGGAGTTCGAGGCCAGCACGCGCATGCAGGACACTAGCGTCTCCTTTGGCTACCAGCTTGACTTGCCCAAGGCCAACCTGCTCTTCAAAGGTACGGCAGCCCCAGGCCGCCCTTCCCCTCTGTGCCCTGCGCCCCAGCCCCTCCCAGTGCCACTAACCCTGCTGTCTGCTGCAGGCTCTGTGGACAGTAATTGGATCGTGGGCGCGGCGTTGGAGAAGAAGCTGCTGCCGCTGCCCCTGACGCTGGCCATGGGGGCCTTCCTGAACCACCGCAAGAACAAGTTCCAGTGTGGCTTCGGCCTCACCATTGGCTAGAGCCCTCTCCTCCTCTTCCACCAGCCCTCCCCCACCCCAATTCCAGTGTCCCCCAGCCCAGACTGCCATGCGGTTTGAGCTGCCCTGGGACCCTTTGCCCCACCCATCCACGCTGGTGCTGCCCAGTTAAGCCCTGGAGTGCGGGGCTCCAGCCCCTTCACTGCCCCGAGCAGGCTGCTCCCCAGAGGGCCACTGCGGGTGCCATGGGGTAGGTCCTGACAGAGCCCAGGGGTCTGATCCCCAGGGCGAGCCCCTTAGCATGGCGGCTCTCGCACTGTCACATTTGGGTTCCAGTCACTTCGTCTGCCCCTCAGGACAGGTCACTGGGGGCTGCTCAGCCCCAGACACAAGGTTTGACACTCTGTCCCCAGGGGCTGCTGGAAAATGGAGAGCTGGCTGGTGCAGGGTCAGTGGCTGCTGGGCCCCTCAGGAGGTGTCTGGCCTGCCCCCTGCCTCTCTTGGCCGCTATATCCTAGCAGCCCCTGAGGGGGGGTGGAGGTGTGACCCTCCCTGCTTCCGGGAGGGGACCTAGTGTCCCCTCTATTCGCATGGCTTGGATTTGGGGCTGGGGGCTGTCCTGGGGCACCAGGTAGGGAGGGTGAGTGGAAACCCAGTGACAGGATAACCCCCCACCAAGGGTGTAAAATGCCCTCTTCAGCCTGATACCCTGTGCTGACATTCTTCCTCACCAGGGGGCACTGTGACATCAGGAACTGTCCTACTTCTGGCGCAATGGGAGAAGGACTGGCTCCGTCCTGGGGGTGGGGTCGCTTGGCCTGATGCACTGAGGGGGGATCGGGGCTTGGTGGATCCCCTCAGGAATGGATTGTCCCAGCTGGTGGGGGTGCACTGACCCTGCAACTGTCTGCCAGGAGGGGCTGGATCCCTCACCAAACCCCCCACATCTCTGTGCAGCTGTGGGGAGATTCTCTCTCTCTCTCTCTCTCTTTCTGCACCAATTACACCCCCTCCCTTCGTGCCCTTGGATCGCTGGGGTACCAGTGGCTTTGCAGCCTCATACCTCACACCCCAGAAAGCTGTGGGGCAGACTCTACCCCTGGGGTGATGGGGCCACAACCTCTCTGGCTGCTGCACCCTAGCTCCCCTGTTCAGGCCTCCCCGGCCCTTCCCCTCCCAGCCTACACTGATCCGAAGAGCCACAAGGGACCTATTGAGCGCTCTCTGCACCCACTACGGATTGGGGGTCTGTCTGTGCGCACACACACAGCCCCGCCCCAGCAGGAGGAGCAGCAGTTTGGGGGGCCCTGCTTGCATCCCATCCCCACCCAGCAGCACTGTGAGGAAGACCAGCGCTTTGAGGGAGGGGTCCTGTCAGCCCCTGAGCAGCACCTGGAGGAGCAGTGGATTGGGGGGGGGGAGAATCCCCAGCAGCCCCCCCCCCCAGCAGCACCAGGAGGAGCAGCGGATGGGGGGTCCCCCCAGCAGCACTAGGAGGAGCAGCGGACTGGGGGATCCCCAGCAACCCCCTCCCCTCCCAGCAGCACCTGGAGGAGCAACGGTTTGGGGGGTCCCAGCAGCCCCTGGAGGAGTGGTGGATTGGGGGTTCCTCCGCCCCGCCGTTAGAGACTCTGCGTGTAAATCATGTTTATAAGTTATGGGAACTGAAGGATCTTTTACAGAGACCCTCAAAACACCTCCCCTCCCCCCATGATGTTGGAAATGTCCTGTCTGAATAAACCCCCCAGCACTGGGCACCGTCCTCGGCTGCTTCTGTCTCACGAAGGGGGCGGTGAAGCACCGCTGGAGACCTCTCCCTCCCGTGGGGGTGGGGTTGCTGAGTATGAGCCCCCGAAACCCCTTGGGAAATGGGTCTGAGGAGGAGCAGAGAGTGGATCTGTCAATCCGTAGAGCTGAGGGGGAAGTGGGGATGGGACAGGGGGTGATAAAGAGAGCCTGGGTTGCGGGGAGCCTAATCAGGGAGTGTGAAGGGGGAGGGTGGGGGAGGAGGGGAGATTGAGATCTGAGGGGGTGGTAGTTGGAGAGGAAGCTCAAGGGGTGGGGACCAGCTCCAGTGTCCTCTTTGGAGGCCCAAAGGCTGGCATTTCTGGCCCCAGTGCCCCACGGCAGGGATCCTTGTGGAAACCTGTCTGGGAGCGCACATACCCTGGCATCAATGGGACTGATACTGGCCACCATGTCCAATTCTGGTGCTCATGCTGCCCATAGGGTGGGGCTGAAGCAGTGAGGGGTTGGAGAAGAGCCCCCCCGAACAAGCTGAGAGCTAGGCCAGCAGCCCCCAGCGAGGGGCTGTGGAGTTCTGCAAGGAGAAGGCTGGGCTAGAATCGAGGCGAGGCCAGGGGTTTGGCCAGCAGAAGGCTGTCCAGGCTCGCTGGCAGGGCGAGGGCCTGGAGCTGGGAGAGAAAGGCTAGAGCAATTCACCCTTGCACGGATTCACCGGGGTTGGGGGATTCTCCTGAATCCAGATGGGAGCAGTGTGTGAGCGTGAGCCCCGTGGGGTTGGCCAGGTGCTGGCGTTGCTGGGCGGGAAGCACCCTGCCTGGGTTATGCAGGGGTTCTCGTGCTGGCAGGTCAATGCGCCTGTTTGGATTGGCTGTGTGGCAATAGGGCTGGTGCACAGGAATGTGGAGAGCAGAGGGTTTGTGTGATGGGACCGTGCACCCCAGTGGTGGGGCTGGGAGGTGTTCTTGGCAGGGCGAGCTATTCACCTGTTGCTAGTGAACGAAAAGCACTGACCCTTGGCTCCGTTGGGGCAGGTAAGAGCCACCCTCCAGCAAGGGTCACGTGCTGCCATTTGGGATTGAGCCCTGGGTTTGTATCAGCCATGTCTGTCCCGAGGCCAGGCTGCTCCATAGCACGGGGCTTTCTCACCATCTCCTGGGGCTAGCACAGTTCTGCATTGACCAGACATTGTCCCTGAGAGGGGAAGGGAAGGAGCCTGATGGGTTGGATGGGTGGTGTAGACAATCAGACAGTGCTAGGAATGGAGCGGTGCACAGGATAAGGTGGAGTCTGGTGATGGGGGATTGAACCACATGGAGACCAGGGCCCCTGCAGCCTGGGGTCCCTGCACAATGGGCTCAGGAGCAGGATTTTATTACAAGGAATTTTTTAAAATTTATTTAATCAAACCCCTTTTCCTGGCATGAGGTGTTCAGACTCCCCCACCCAGCTGTTGGAGTGAATGATAGGGGTGCTGCAGTCCTCCTACCACAGGAATGGTACCACCTTAGCACAGGGATTAGGGACAGGTTGCTGCAGGCAGCAGAGATTCACCCTCTTCTCCCTCCAGAATTGTGCAAGGAGTGGTGCTCCTGGAGCCGTGTAGAGACGCCATCAGAATGGTGAGGAAGGCTGTGCTGCTGCCTTGAACTTCCAGGACCCCGGTTTCCAGGCCCCCTCTCCCAAGTCCTGGCACGTCCTGCCAGTAGCTCTCGGCAGCCGGGTAAGTGGCAGCACAAGGGCAGGGCTTTGGTGTACAGTCATTCCCAAGACCTGCCCTGGTGCTCCGATTGCATCTACCCCCACAGGCTTCCAACTCCCCTTCCTGTCACAAAGTGAGACTGTGGCCTGTCCCCACCCCAGAATTGGGAGCAGAGGGGCATGGAGGCGGAGGCATGGTGTGTGAGCGGATGGCCCTGACCAATGTCAGGCCTGATTGGTGGTCACCCCAAGAGCCCCTCCACACACTCTCCTGCAAATGCCAGTGTCTGACCACTCACCAGCTTTGGAAGGGCCCCTGCTGTCAGGGAGCAGTCAGGCTCGGGGTACAGAGCAGCCTGGGAGCTACACAGCCCTGCCGGGCCCTGCAGCGACGACAAGTCACTCAAGGCAGGACTTCCGCAGCAGGACTAGGTTGAATGGGCGTTACGACTTTTTACTGGGCTGTCCCACAGGTCCTGAGGTCTGGCCAGACTTTTCAAAGGGCTCTCTTAGCACGTTGGGTGCTGCACACCTAAAATCCGGCCTTTTGCACAGCAAAATGTGGGAATTCCCAGCTGTCGCGGCCAGAAAGGACTGGCTAACCCAGGCTGCAGAACTCCCACCCTGCAGGTTTCAGAGTAGCAGCCGTGTTAGTCTGTATCCACAGAAAGAAAAGGAATACTTGTGGCACTTTAGAGACTAACAAATTTATTTGAGCATGACCTTTCGTGAGCTTCAGCTCACTTCATCGGATGCATGCCATGGAAAATACAGTGGAGAGATTTATATACACAGAGAACATGAAACAATGGGTGTTACCATACACGCTGTAACAAAAGAAAAGGAGTACTTGTGGCACCTTAGAGACTAACTAAGGTGCCACAAGTACTCCTTTTCTTTTTTGCGAATACAGGCTAACATGGCTGTTACTCTGAAAGCTGTAACAAAAGCTATGGGGTAAGGTGAGCTATTACCAGCAGGAGAGCTGGGGGGTGTGTGTGTGAGGGGGGAACCTTTTGTAGTGATAATCAAGATGGGCCATTTCCAGCCATTGACAAGAACATGTGAGGAATGGGGTGGGGTGGGGCGGAATAAACATGGGGAAATACTTTTACTTTGTGTAATGACCCATCCACTCCTGTCTTTATTCAAGCCTAAGTTAATTGTATCCAGTTTGCAAATTAATTCCAATTCAGCAGTCTCTCGTTGGAGTCTGGTTTTGAAGTTTTGTTGTTGAAGAATTGCCACTTCTAGGTCTGTAATCGAGTGACCAAAGAGAATGAAGTGTTCTCCAACTGGTTTTTGAATGTTATAATTCTTGACGTCTGATTTGTGTCCATTTATTCTTCTATTCCCTACCATCATAGGTTAGGCCCTACCATCATAGGGCCTAATCACATCAGCCACACTATCAGAGGGTCGTTCACCTGCACATCTACCAATGTGATATGTGCCAGCAATGCCCCTCTGCCATGTACACTGGTCAAACTGGACAGTCTCTACGTAAAAGAATAAATGGACACAAATCAGACGTCAAGAATTATAACATTCAAAAACTGAGCCAGTATCAAAAGCTTTGCTAAAGGCAATTCTTCAACAACAAAACTTCAAAACCAGACTCCGAGAGACTGCTGAATTGGAATTAATTTGCAAACTGGATACAATTAACTTAGGCTTGAATAAAGACAGGGGGTGGATGGGTCATTACACAAAGTAAAACTATTTCCCCATGTTTATTCCGCCCCACCCCGTTCCTCACACGTTCTTGTCAACTGCTGGAAATGGCCCACCTTGATTATCACTACAAAAGGTTCCCCCCCACACCCGCCCCCCCAGCTCTCCTACTGGTAATAGGTCACCTTACTTGATCGCTCTTGTTACAGTGTGTATGGTAACACCCATTGTTTAATGTTCTCTGTGTATATAAATATCCCCACTGTATTTTCCATTGCATGCTTCTGATGAAGTGAGCTGAAGCTCACAAAAGCTTATGCTCAAATAAATTTGTTAGTCTCTAAGGTGCCACAAGTCCTCCTTTTCTTCTCGCCCTGCAGCTGCTCTTGCAGCCAGCTCAGTGACTGGCACCCCCTCACCATTTTAAAGACGCCAAGTACTGGAGAAGTGAAGCCAGGACCCAGCTAGCCTGGCCACAAGAGCCGCCAGTGCCAGAGAAGGGTGAGAGCCCTGCAAGCACTATGTGGGATACTCAGCCCCCAGTGCAGGTGTCATCCTGACCCCACTAGAAATTGGCTTGACCCTGGAATCAGGCAGATCTATATTCCTGTCGAAATGAAGGCACTAGCCTAACTCTGGCCAGCCCATCCATCTGGGGAGCATGCCAAGCTTTTGGCCTCAATCACATCCTCTGGCAATGAGTTCCACAGTGAAACTATGAGAAGACACTTTTCCATTCCCCCCCCCCGCCCCCGCCGCCCCCTCTGGTCCATCTGTCCTAAGAGCAGCCAGATCGGGTCAGAGCAAAGGTCCATCTAGTCTAGTGTCCTGTCTGCCGACAGTGGCCAGTGCCAGGTGCCCCAGAGGGAGTGAACAGAACCAGGAATCGCCAAGTGATCATCCCACCGCCCATTTCCAGCTCCTGGCAAACAGAGGCTGGGGACACCATCCCTGCCCATCCTCGCTAATAGCCATTGATGGACCTGTCCTCCATGAGCTTATCTAGTTCTTTTTTGAACCCTGTTTGCTTAAATTACAGCCAAGGGGCCTGGCCCTCGGCCCAAGCCCCTCACAGCAGCAGGCAAAGCCACAGCTGGGCCTGGTACCACGCTAGGCTGAGCTGCCTTTGTACAAAGTGCAGCTGGGCTGTCTGGCACAGACAGGAAGGCCAAGGAGGCAGCAGGTGGGAGTACCTCTGGGAGGGGTGCAGAAACATGCTGACAGGAGAGCAGTCACCCCACGTGTCGGCCAGGAACCACATCCCGTCGCCGGTTGTGTAACCAGCCAGCCTTGCTCCTCTTGGCGGAGCCGGGAAAGGGAAGTGAGAGGGGCACAGGACAGCTGTGCAGCCCGCCCCCTCCCCATGTCTGTCTCTCTCCTTGTACTGCTGGGTTGGCTCAGCTCCCCAGAGCCAGTCGCATCACAGGTCGGCATTGCTCCTCCCTGCTGCTGCCAGCACTTTGACCCACTGAGCTGAGAGAATATAGCCCAGCTGTGACTCCCCGTGACCTGAGTGGGAGGTGCGGGGAGGTTACTGGCGGGTAAAGCCCTGTATCTCTGCTCCAGGCTGGGGATGGAACGTGCTGAGCCCTTATTGTGAGTGGCTGGGCCCCGGCCCCACTGGGGTCACTGAGTGAGACTCAGCGCTGGGTCAGACAGTTTGTGATAAGCCAGGGCCAGTGCTGCGGCCGGAGAGGGGTGGCCAGGGCTGATGGGGGCAAGGAGGAGACACTTGTACCAGGGCCCTGAGCTTGGGGGACTCCAACCTGTCTGCAATTGAGTGAAATGGTGGGGCCTCAGCCCACACACTGTGCATGGCCAGACTGTGACACAGGCCAGGAAGATCAAGCCATTCCTGCTCCTTCGTGCCTCGATGCTGCCATAGAGTCATAGCCTTGGCACTGCGCTGGCCCCTCCTGTGAACTGGCTGAGCTGGGCCCAGTGGACTCTGGCCAGGCCAGGCTGTTTCAGTGCCACATTGGAGGGTGATGTGGATGGGCCCAGAGGAAACCAAAGGACACTGTGATAAGGTTCCCCCGGTGGGGTGAGGGTGGAGTGAGGAAGGAGAGGGAAGGGGAGCGGTGGTGAGCTGGCTGGGGTGGGAGGGGGATATCAGGGCATGACAAGCCAATGGGAAAGGCTAGGAGTCTGCCCCCAATGTGTGACGATTCTTCTCCCCCGCTCCGCCCCCATGCAACCCTGAGACCAGCTGATGGAATGTAGTGGTTACTGCGGGGGGGTTGGGAGCCAGGACTCCTGGGTTCTCAGCCTGGCTCTGGGCTGGGAGTGGGGACCAGTGGGTTTAAGCATGATGGTACTTTAAGATCTGTCATTCCCATTCTCTCTGGATGGACATTTGACCTCAGTAGAGCTGGGCCAGTTTACACCAGTAGAGAATCTGGCCCAGGATGAATTGGCTGGGGGCAGCTGCTCTACTCCCACAGCCAGGCTAGGCTCAGTCTGGGAGCAGGACGGAGCTCCAAGGATGTCGCCCTGGATTACAAACCTAGCAAAGATATGCCCCACGCCTTAGCACTCTCCTCTGACTGACTGCCCCTGCAGCCCTGTGCCAGGAGGGATGGTGTCACTGGGGCTGGCCAGGCCTTGAGAGGAGATAAGAGGGAATTCTCTGTGGTTATTGCCTGTCCCTGGGTTATAAATACCAGGAGCAGTGGGGCAGGAGGGCCTACTGGAGAAGACAGAGACCTATCAGCTGGCAGAGCAAGGTAAGGCCAGCCACAGCTTGGAGAGGGAATAAGCAGCTTGTCTGCTTGGTGCAGGTCTCATGGAGTCGCTGCTGGACTCAGGCAGGATATAAATGCTGTTGGTTTGTGCAGAGAACGGCTCCTGGTGGTGGGGTGGGTCCTTCCAACCTCAAGCTGGGGCTCAGGCTGGCCGGGCAGAGCCACCCTGTTCTTCAGCACGGGCAATACAAGGGGCTGCAGATCCCAAACTGCTCAGCCCTGGCATGCTATGGGCCCTTCTGAAACGCCGGACGCTTATTTTGGTGCCTAATCGGGGGCTGTGTTTCTGGGCATCCTGGTGTCTGAGTGTCCAGTTCACCACGCACTGTTGTTTGCATCAGGGCAGAATGCTGCCATCCCAGGTCACATCATTTTGCCCTTTGCACAGGTGTAAACGGATTTGATTTTAACATACCCCCCATATGTCAAAACACAGTAGTGCCAAGGCAAGCCCCAGCGAAGAGAGAGCTGCTTTCACCCCCAGGCAGGGGGGTTGGTTCCCTCTGGGTCCTTGTAACCCCAGATTTACAAGGAGCTGCTGGGTGGGAGAAGGCCCCTGGAAAGATTTTAAAGCAACACTTTTGAAAGACCCCCCCCTCCCCCCGCCAGTGTCTAAACCCAACTACAATCAATTAACCCCCCAATGATTCTAATCAAGGCTGCACAGCTTTCGGTTCAATTATGAACTGCCCACCAGCCCCCTGGGACTGACTGTTCCCCCTCCTGCCAGAGCCTGGGGTCTGCAGCCAGGGGTTCCTCGCAATTGTCTCCAGCACTGGACTAGGATGGCAGAAAAAGCTCGTGACCTGGTGACACGGGGACAGTGCGAGGATTAATGCATGACAAGAGGTGCTGGTGGCAGGGCCTAAGAACCCCCATCCCAGTCTGCTCCCGCTCTGCTCTAAGCCTCTTTCCTCCATCGCACCAGGGTGTCAGGGAAGCTCCCAGCATGAAGCTTTTCACCCTCATCCTGACGCTGGCTATCCTGGCAGGTGAGTGCATCTTGGTGCAGGCCTGCCCCTGCCCCACTGGGGAAGTCCCATGAGGGATCCTCTGCCTGGGACCCTACACTTAGGTGCACAGCGGCCTCGAGGCCACAGACACACCTAGAACACACATGCACGCAGGTAGAGAATTGGCAGCGTTACAAGGGGGAGCTGAGACTTGTGGTAAATACGCTGGGCTGGGGCTCAGGACTTCTTGGTTCAGTTCCCTGCTCTGCTGCAGATTCCCTGGGTAGCCCTGGAGATGCCCCTGAATCTCTCTGGACCTCAGCTCCCATCTGTAAAATATGGAGACTAATCCTGCCTTTCTCTGTTAGGGCAGCTCTTCAGGGCAGGGGCCGTCTCTCACTGTGTGTGTGTTCAGCATCCGGCACAGTGGGAAGCCCGAGGCTTGGTTGGGGTCGGGGCAGCATCCGGCACAGTGGGAAACCCCAGGCTTGGTTGGGGTCTGGGCAGTGCCTGGCACAGTGGGGGCTCCTTATTTCCAATTTAGGAACCTGAAAATTTCCTAAAGTGACTCTCCTAAAGCCACACAGGGAGTCGATTGCAGAGCCTGGCATTGGCCCCAGGAATCCCGAGCCCCAGGCCAGAGTTGTAACACCAGCCCCTCCTTCCAGAGAAAGGGAGCTCTGTCGAGTCCCTTCGCTGAGTCTCTCCAGGGCGGGGTCTGCGGCCTCTAGTGACGGGGTCTTGCTGGGGATTTCTGTCACCCCACAGGCAGCCAGGCCTCTCTCCTCAGCGATGAGCCCACACCAAGGCTGGAGCAGGTCCGCAAAGGCTTCTGGGAGTATGTGGCCAAAGCCACCAGTTCCACCGAGAAAACCATGGAACTGATCCGTAAATCTGAGCTGGGCCAGGAGATCAAGTGAGAAACTGGCACTGATTGTGGGGCGGGGGCCCTACCTTGAGGGCTGGGAGCCTCCCATCCTCCCCATGGACCCAGAGCGGATGGGGGAGGTTAGTTGCCCCTTGACTGCAGCCCCCACACCTTGGCTTCTGGGCTCAGCAAACCCCTGGCCCTCACCGGGATCGAGCCTGGCTAGGAGACCCCCAGGGCACTGGGTATTCAGCTGCTCTGCTCTCTGAGTCAGAACTGAGCCCATGTCCAGGATGACAGGGCCCCGTATCCCATGTCCCCACCCGGCAACTCCTCTGAGCCAGCCAGGCCCCCCTGCCTGGGGCCGGATCGGACCCAGAGCCCCATAGAGGGGAAGGGCCCCGTGTCTCATTCCCCACCCCTCTGAGCCAGCCAGGCCCCCCCCGCCTGGGGCCGGATTGGACCCGGAGCCCCCTAGCAGCAGAGGCCCCACACCCCCATTCCCTTCTCATCTGCTCACCCGTCCCCACAGCAGCTGCATCAGCCACAGCCTGGCGGCTGCCAACACCTATGGCACAGAGCTGCAGAAGCAGCTGCCCCTTGAGGCCCAGGAGCTGGCGGCCAAGCCGAGCAAGGGCACAGAGCAGCTGGTGCAGAAGATTGCAGGGGAGCTGCAGCAGAAGGGGCAGTGGAGCGTGGAGGACTTGCAGGCTGGGCCGGCGCCCTACGCCGAGGGGCTGCTGGAGCAGGCAGAGCAGCGTGCTGAGACCCTGCACCACAGCGTGGCGGCTGGCACCCAGGAGCTGAGCGAGCGGCTGCAGCAGAGCGTGGAGAAGCTGCGAAGCCAGCTGGGTCCCTTCGCCCAGGAGCTGAGCGAGCGGCTGCAGCAGCCCGTGCAGGAGTTCCAGCAGGGGCTGGAGCCCTACCTGCAGAAGCTGCAGGGGAGCCTGAGCCATGGCGTGCAGCACGTCCGTCGCAACCTGCACCCCTACGCCGAGGACCTGCAGGGGCGGCTGGGCTCCCTCTGGGCCTCCTTCCTGCAGCACTTCCAGTGAGGGGCCTGCGCTGGTGGGGAGAGGGGAACCCAGAGCCGGGCGGGCGGGCAGGCCGGGGGTAAGACACCGACCCCATCCATCCATGGAGCCCATGGGACTGGGGGATGGGAGCACAGACTCCATCCATGCACGGAGCCTTCAGGGGTCACAGGTGCTCGAGTGGGGACAACCTCTTCTCTAAGGGCCTCTGACATGCCCAGGTTCCCCATCCCATCACCCCTAGTCGCTCCCTGTGTCTGCAACAACCTCCCAGGGGCTCAATAAACCACCTGCTAATTAATCACCCTGTGCACTGCTGCTGCCTCCCTGGGGGAGGGGAGCAGCCTTTATAACCCCGCTCGCTGCCCCGTGGGGCTGGGGTCGTGCAGCCCCGGTCAGTGAGGGAGAACAGGCTCTTAGCCAAGCCACGCGTGGGGTGCAAGCCAGGGGGATGATCATGGGCATGTGATGGGGACATAGGGCCGTCTCCTGGGCGGGGGGCCTTTCCCCTTCGAAACTCTCCCCTTAAACCTTTCTCCTAGAGCTTGCTCTATCCCTGCGCTGCTGTGACCTCCCGATAAACAGCTCTGGCCAGTGTTACCCACAAACTTTCCTCACCATGCTGTCTGCAGCGCAGGCCCACTGGGGCTGTCACTGCCTGTGTGTGGGGCGCCCCCCGTAAGAAACCCTGCCACTGTTCTGCAGCACAGACCCCTGGCACTGCACTGGGGCCATCTCTGCCTGTACGGGGGAGGAAGTGTCTCCTACTGAGCCCCCCACATGTACACCCCAGCACTGCATTCGGGGGAGCACTCCATACTGAGCCCCCTCCCACATACAGCCCACTCTGCAACACAGACCCCCTGGCACTGCACTGGGGCTAGGGTTGCCAACTGTCTAATCACAGAAACTCAAACACCCTTGCCCTGCCCTGCCCTGGATCTGGGCTGGGGTCAAGGGGTTCGGCGTGTGGAAGGGCCGCTAGGCTGAGCCTGTGGCAGGGGGTAAGGCTGCAGGAGGGGTTGCGGGGTGCAAGCTCTGGGAGGGAGCTTTGGTGCTGGAGGGGGCTCAGGGCTGGGGGAGAGGGTTGGGGGTGCAGGGTGCAGGCTCCGAGAGGGGGCTCAGGGCTGGGGCAGGGAACTGGGGTGCAGGAGGGAGGCTGGCTGGCTGTTGGGCACATCAGACACCACAAGGTTTACCAGGGAGCAGCGGGTGCCGAGGGCTGTCTGGACCTTTATTTAAGGCACCCCGGTGACTAGGTGCTGTTGGCTGGGGTGTGCGCAGCATCCTTTTGCTGCCACAGGCAAGCGTCGGGCTACTTTGTCGTGACATTTTTTTCTTCAACTTTGCAAATCCAAGGTTAGTGGGGCAAGGGGCGAGGTTTCCCTGCGAACAGTGACTGCTCTTCTGAGGCATCTTTCGGGGCGGGGGGCCTCATTGCTGCCAGTGGCATAGGTGGGCTGGGGAGTGGGGCACAGACCTTTGTCCTCTGGGGGCACCAGCTCTGATCCAGCCCAAGGGCAGGGAACGGGACATGGGGCCTCCTCCCTCGAGGTGACGCTGGCGCCGAGCTGTTGGGAGCATGGGGGAATTGGCTGACGCGGGGGAGGGAATATGGCACCTTTCACATCCTGAGAGTGTGTCACGGAGTGTGGGGGAGTCAGGGCCCTGCACCCCGCTCTTCCTGCGATTCACCGGGACTCTTAGCCAGCCAGTAAAACGGAAGGTTTATTGGACGACAGGAACACAGTCCCAAACAGCTTGTTGGTACAACCAGGACCCCTCAGACAGGTCCTTCTGGGGGGCAGGGAGCTTAGACCCCAGCCTTGGGGCTCCCTCCGTTTCCCCAGCCAGCTTCCAACTCAAAACCCCCTCCAGCCGACTCCCCCAGCCTCCCCCCAGCTCCTCCTCCAGCCTTTGTCCAGCTTCCCGGGCAGAAGGTGTCACCTCGCCCCAACCCCCCTCCTGGCTCAGGTGACACCCCCTGCTATCCCATCCCCCATGCAGACAGTCCCAGTAAAACTCCCCTGCGACATCCCCAGGTCAATCCGTCCCACTCCCTGCTCCATCACGGAGCGCCCCTGCCAAGCCTGCCCAAGGGCAGGGGATGGAGGCTGGGGAAGGGGCGTCACAGGACGTGGCTCCTCTGTGGGACACTGCGCGGATGCCCGGCCTTGTGCCTTCACTACCCCCTTCAGTTTAAGTGCCCTCCTCCAGTTCTCCCACTATCCTCGCGACAGCCCAGACAGAGCACCAAGCGCCCTTCTTGGCCCTCTCCCCAGGACCTGAGGGAGCAGAGGGCTCCCTCCCTTGAGGCCTCTGTCGTGTCACTGGGTTGACTAGCGCTGATCCTGCCGCCTTCTTGGCCCAGTCATCCTGAGCGTCTAATTCCCTCCACCAGCCTTCTCAAGGGGGGCTAGTTAACCCTGGAGTGAGCGGAGCAAGGACTCACCTGTTCTCACACATCCTGTCACAGGGGCTACGAGGCCTTATTTTCCCTCTGAATGCCAACATCTCACCGGGGGCGGGGGGCACTTTAAAAGGGGAGGCGGTAGGGATGTTACTGAACGTGAGGGAGTGCTTGTTCTCCCAGTAGGGGTGCTGAAAGCCAGTGGGCTCCCCCCTTACCTCTGGCCGTGTCCCCTCTCCCCCGAGCTGGGGCCAGGACCAGGCTGTGGCTCCGGGAGGGGCAGGGGGCTGAAGCTGGGACCACAGCTGGGACTGGGAGCAGAGCCCTGGGTGTGCGGCCAGTGGCTGGGACCCCATGCAAAACCTGGGGGTGCTGCAGCATGCCCTGCATCCCTAGTTCCCATGCCCATGGGCCAGGGTGGTGCAGTGTAGGGGAAGATAGGGAGCGAGAGCAGTTTAGAATGTAAGCTGGGGGATGCACTGGGGTGGGGCAGTTTAATGGGGGCATGGGGTGGGGCATGTTTAAGGGGGAATGGTTTAGGGGGGGTATTGGGGGGAGGTTGAGCAGTTTGTGGGGAGTGGGTAATTGGGGCCATGACCCTCTACAGGCCTGGTGACCTCCTGTCCTGTTGGGGGATTGACACCCCAAGCCCCCTTCCCCAGAGATGCAGCAGGACCACAAATCACTGCATGATCAAGCAGCTGGTTTATTGAGTGATGGACAGCTGTATGGGGCAGGGAGCCTGCTCTGGGGTTCCTTACAGCCTTGGGTTCCAGGTATGGACAGGGCCTATGATGCTGCACCTCCACCGGTCTCCTCACTGAAACATTGCATGAAGGCGTCCCAGTGGGAGTTCAGCCAGCCATGCAAGTCCTCAGCATAGGGGCTGAGCTTCTGGTGCAGGTCGCTGGCGTAGGCTGCCAGGCCATGCTGGAACTCCTGCAGCCCCAGCTCCTGGACATAGGAGCCCAGCTTCTCCTGTAGCTCCACCCTAGACGGGATGAAGCTGTACGCCTGGCGACCAAGCAGGGTCTTGCTGTACTGCTCCGCCATCTCCAGCAGCCCCTCAGTGTAGGACACCAGGACAGCATGCAGCTGCTTCTTGTAGGGCTGCATCTTCCTCTCCAGTTCCCGCAGCTCTGCCACGCTTACCTCCACCAGCGCATCTACATGCCTGCTCAGGTTCCTCAGCTGCTCCTGGGCCTTGGGGGGCACCTTACGTTCTAGGTCATCAAAGAAGTTCTCAATTTTCCTGGCGAGCCTCCACTGCCTGCAAAGAAAGGGAAGCAGCTTAGAGTGACTCACACTCTGGGCTGCTGGCTCTGTCTGACCCCAAGGCAGAAGGATTGGCTGGAGTGGGGAGGGGGGGGGGGTGTCAGGGAGGGGAATGTGGCCCCAGGGCAGGAGGACTAGCTGGTTCATGGGGGTTGGGAATGTGATATGGGGCCTCCACCCCCCAGTTTTGCTGGCTTTGATCCAGCCTCAGCCCCCAGGTCAAGGGCACTGGTTGTCCCAGGGGCATCGGGCCCTGCCATGCCAAACATGGATGCAATTCTGACTGGGAGAACAAGCACCCGCAGCTGAATCCCCAGCATCCCTAGGGTTGGCCAGGCCAATCCCTGCTGAGCTGGTGGGGCTTGCTAGGCCCAGAAGCAGAGGTGTGGGTCCTGCAGTCAGGGATGTGACTCTAACCCCTCTGCTCTGGGTCCCTGGCATGGATGGGGGTGCTCCCAAACCCTGCCTCCAAGTCAGGGCAGGTGCCTCACTCGATCTCCTGGCCCAGCTCAGATTTCTGGATCAGCTCCACGATCGTTGTGATAAGTTGCTCCAGGTAGTGTGGGATGGCATCTGCGACCTGGTCCAACTTTGGCCTGGGTTTCTCGCTGAGGGGAGAGGCCTGGAAGCCTGGGAAAGGAAAGGGATCCCCAGTGAGACAGTGTCACTGAAGGCCCCAGGGCTGCCCTGGCCTGGAGAGACCCACTGAGCTACCTCTCCCTGGAAGGAGGGGCACGTGGTAACTGCACTGGGATGTGGCTCAGGACTCCTAGGTTCCAACCAGCTCTGGGAGGGAATATGGGGTCTAGGGGTTACTGCAGAGGGGCTGGGAGCCCGGACTCCTGGCTTCTATCCCACTTTGCCACAGGCTTCTGATAAGGCATTGGGACACTGGGATTGGCAGACTGGATCAGCCCCATGGTTTGTCAAGGCAAATATCTAGAAGCTGGCACTCAGTGGCTCAGGGGAATGTGCAAGAACCCTGCAGTAGCAGATGTGGGTATTTTTCCTCATCACCCCAATAGTTAGCACTGGGGCAGCTGGGTTTATGCGCCTCCTAAGTCTCTAACTATGGTCATTCTGGATACTCCCATTATCCACAGAAATGCATCTGTGAATCCTGCTTATTGGAGATGAGTTCCCTGAGCACCCTTCACCCTGCTGAGCACCGAGAGAATAACAGGCTTCTAAGGCAGAGGTTCTCAAACTGTGGTCCGTGGAGCACCAGTGGTCCAAGAGCTCCACTAATTAGGTGCCTGGACCCTGGAGAAGATGCACATGTAAGGTGAGGGGGTGGCCTTGGGGGGAAGAGGGGGTAGGTGGGAGGGGGCAGTGGGATGAGAAGAGGGGTTGGGAGGAATTTGGGATGTGCAGGGCTGCGGCGACCAGAGAAAGAGGCAACTTTCCCCAGCTCCAGGGCTGCAGCTGCCAGGGAGAGACAGCCCTCCTTCCCAGCCTCAGCTGTGTGGCTGCTGTGGTGGAGGAGAGACCCCCTCCTTCCCAGACCCAGCTTGGGGTCAGCCGCAGCTAGGGAGAGAGGAAGAGACCCCCCCTGCTTCCAGCCCCAACTTGGGGGCTGCCACGGAAGGGCAGAGAGGGCACATCCATCGCATTAGAAAGGTAAGACTACTGATATTAAAATATGAGTTGCGTGCTTTTATTTGTAAAACAAAAAAACATTAATTATTAAGCGTTTTTTTAATATAGTGCTTTTATCCAAAGCACTTTACAATAGTTAGCTAATGGTTCAAACAACATTTGGAAAGATCATTAAGTGGTCCACCGAGATCCTCAGCAAATTTCAAGTGGTCCGTGAAAAAAAGACCTTGAGAAGCACTGTTCTAAGGGGTAGCCAACAAGATTTGCCAAGAGGAAATCATGCCCAGACAGTTCCTTCTTTTTCAGGGTTACTGGGCTAGAGGCCAGAGAGGAAGCTGTAGATGTGATTATAGCTTGATTTTTTGGGTAGGGTTTTTGATACAGTCCCATGTGACATTCTCAGAAGCAAACCAGGGAAGTGTGGTCTATATCAGTGGTTCTCAAACTTTTGTACTGGTGACCCCTTTCACACAGCAAGCCTCTGAGTGTGACCCCCCCTTATAAATGAAAAACACTTTTAAATATATTTAACACCATTATAAATGCTGGAGGCAAAGCGGGGTGTGGGGTGGTGGCTGACAGCTCGCGACCCCACCCTGTAATAACCTTGCGACCCCCTGAGGCCTCCCGACCCCCAGTTTGAGACCCCCTGGTCTAAAGGAAATTACTATAAGTGCAAAAGTGGCTGAAAGAATCACCCTCAAAGGGTGGTTATCAGTGGTGCACTTGTCAAACTGAAGGGGGGGTATCTAATGGGGTCCCATAGGGTTCTGTCCTGCATTCAGTACTCGCTAATATTGTCATTAATGACTTGGAGAATGGAGTGGGTAATCTGCTTAAACACTTGCAGATGACACCAAGCTGGGAGGGGTTGCAAGCACTTCGGAGGACAGGATTAGAATTCAAAACGACCTTGTTGATTTCTGGCCAATTCTCCAATTTATCAAGATTAAATTCAATAAAGGCAAGTGCAAAGTACTTAATTTAGGAAGGAAAAGTGAAACGAACAACAACAAAATGGGGAATAACTGGCTAGGTGGTAGTACGGCTGAAAAGGCTCTGCAGGTTAGAGTGGGTCACAAATTGAATATGAGCCAACAGTGCAATGCAGCTGCAAAAAAGATTTATATCATTCTGGGGTGTATTAGTAGGAGTGTGCTATGTAAGACACCAGAGTTAACTGTTCCACTCTACTTAGCACTGGCGAGCTCTAGGTTTACTTGGAGTTGCCTCAGCACAGGGGGCTGTACTAGATGAACTCCTGAGGTGCCTTCCCAGGTTCATTTGTCTGCTTCATTCAGGCTGACAGAAAGAGCAACTAAATACCCCTTTTTGTAGTGAGAACTGATACCAGAGAAGCCACTGCCCACGGCACTCACCAGCAGGGCAAGGCCTGAGCAGAATGGCTGTATGGGCCAAGGGGTTTCCCTAGTGACTGATTGCAAATGCAGGGGATGGAGCACTGGTTGGCAGCAGCTGTGTATGTCTGTGTATCAAAGGCACAAAGCCATCAGACAGGGAGAGACGTTTTTGTTAGCATTGGCCTGGGAGGGAGCAGAGCTAGGGCTCCTTGGAGCACACAGCTGGTGGAGAGGCAAGCTTGGATTTCTGGAAAAGGAAACCGCCGGCTCTTGTATGTTCCTGCTGTGTTCAGGGAAAAGGAATTCTGTGCCCATTCTCTGTAAATCAACAGGCTTATACCAAAAATGAGACCTGACTCTTACCATCGATTTGGGGCCTTGCCAAGAGATATTGGCTGCCCGTTGGAGAGGGGAACAATACGTTTATCACATCCCCTTTTATCTGTCTCCTTTTTAGACAACAGGCCCAGTGTTTTCATCCTCTCCGCCCAGGGCTTTTTCCCAGACCCTGGCTCTCTCTCGTTGCCTGTCCTTGAGCTCCCACTGATTCTCCAATATCCTTTTTACACCAGTGCAAAGTGTTTACACTGGGGGGTGGAGGGTGGGGCGATTTCTCTGCTGCCCTCCCAGTGTTCCAGTCAGCCAGCGTTCACCCCCGTTCGGCACACCACAGTTCTGATCTGGATGTGTCTTACACCGGATGAAAACTCTTTTACACACTAAAGGGTTAGACAAGTGCCAGAAACATCCCATGTAGATAACTCCTGAGACTCCCCAGCAGGAGCTCTGCCTGGTTGAATGAGTCAGGACCCAGGGAACAGAGCGCCCAGCTGAATGCTTAGCAAAGCAGGGTGTTCCCAGAGCTGAGAAAGGCTCAGTCCGTTACACTGTTTTTAATTCATGTTTCCTGCTCTCCCCCCCCCTCCCCCCGCAATCCAAGCTGCATTCCCTCCCCTTTCCCCTGCTCCTGTGACTGGGTCTCTATCAGATACTTTAGTGGTTTCCACTTGAAAAGTCAAAGCTGATTCCTGTGGGAGAGGGTGCCCAAAAGACCTGGCTTCCAGGCAGAGGGATTCCCCACACACACTTCAGAGGAACAGCCGTGTTAGTCTGTATTCGCAAAAAGAAAAGGAGTACTTGTGGCACCTTAGAGACTAACCAATTTATTTGAGCATGAGCTTTCGTGAGCCACAGCCACATCTGATGAAGTGAGCTGTGGCTCACGAAAGCTCATGCTCAAATAAATTGGTTAGTCTCTAAGGTGCCACAAGTACTCCTTTTCTTCCCACACACACTGTCAGCCAGCGCCCAATGGGACAGGTGTGAGGCTGCACCGAGACACACTCACACTCACCTAGCACAGCCAGGGACAGGACAGCAATGAGAAGCTTCATGCTCAGAGTTTCCTGGCGAACCTGGCAGGATGGAGGAAAGAGATAAGTTAGACCCAAGGGGGAGTGGATGGGGTAACAGCCTTGTCACCCATGCCTCCTCCTGTCACTCATTAACCTCAGCACCTGGGCATGAGCTTTGTCTACAGTCCAGTGCTGGGGAGTCTGGCTTTGGGCTCCCAGCCCCCGAAATAAAACTGCCCGGGTTGGTGCTGCCCGGAAAGCCCTGGCCTGAGACTGTTTCTTTCCATCCCCGTAGTTGCAGCCTTCTCTCTGGCCTGACAAATGCAGTCTGGCCCCACTCGTATCCATTCAGAATGCTGCCTGCTGCAACGATCATGTTCTTTTGGCCAAAACAATGGGCTATCTCTCCTCTCTTTGCTGGCTTCTCTTCTCTCTGGTAGTGTTACACCTCTGACCCAAACAGCTAATTCAAGTTTGGGGCCCTAGCGATGTCCCAGCTGGGAGTACAAATTCATGACGGAGTCCCGTATTGTCTTGAGTGCAGCCTTGTTTATTCACAGGGTGTCCAAAGTCCTGTTTCTGCAAACTAGCACTAGCAGGAGGAATGACAACCCCAAACGATACTCAGCGCTTGTCTACCCTTCAAGCCCTGCAGCTGCGCCGCTGAAGCACGAAGGGAAGACACTATGTCTGTCGGTGGCAGCCCTTCTCCCACCTGTGTAGGTACTCCACCTCCCTGAGAGCCCGTAGCTCTGTCCACAGGAGAAGCCCTCCCATCGACTGGAGTTCGGGCAGTATAACTGCATCGTTCAGGTTTTCCACACCCCTGAGTGTCGTAATTAGACTAACATAAATTCAGCATGTGGACCAGGGCTCGGCAAACGGCCCTTCCCCCATCCAGTTTCAAACTCTCTAGGGAGTTTTAGGTGTAATTAATGTATCCTGACAGTTATATTAACGGAAGCTGTATTCACACCCAGTCTCAGAGGTCTGTGACTGTACAGTCCCCAGTCCCTCTCAGCATAACAATACCAAGCACAGGGTTCAGAGGAGCAGCCGCGTTCGTCTGTGTCCGCAAAAAGAACAGGAGGACTCGGGGCACCTCCACTCCATACGGCTAAATGCAGTGCCTTGCATAATGACAGGTTTCAGAGGAGCAGCCGCGTTCGTCTGTATTCGCAAAAAGAACAGGAGGACTTGGGGCACCTCAGAGACTAACCCATTTATTTGAGCATAAGCTTTCGTGAGGAACTTTCACCAAGGAACTAGCTGTAGCTCACGAAAGCTCATGCTCAAATAAATGGGTTAGTCTCTAAGGTGCCACAAGTCCGCCTTTTCTTTTTGCGAATACAGACTAACACGGCTGCTACTCTGATACAGGAGGTATGTTAGCAACAAGAAGGTCAAGAAAAGTGTGGGCCCCTTACTGAATGGGGGAGGCAACCTAGTGACAGAGGATGTGGAAAAAGCTAATGTACTCAATGCTTTTTTGCCTCTGTCTTCACGAACAAGGTCAGCTCCCAGACTACTGCACTGGGCAGGACAGCATGTGGAGGAGGTGACCAGCCCTCTGTGGAGAAAGAAGTGGTTCAGGACTATTTAGAAAAGCTGGACGAGCACAAGTCCATGCGGCTGGAATCGCTGCATTGGGGGGTGCTAAAGGAGTTGGCGGGTGTGATTGCAGAGCCATTGGCCATTATCTTTGAAAACTCATGGCAATCAGGGGAAGTCCCGGATGACTGGAAAAAGGCTAATGTAGTGCCCATCTTTAAAAAAGGGAAGAAGGAGGATCCTGGGAACTACAGGCCAGTCAGCCTCACCTCAGTCCCTGGAAAAATCATGGAGCAGGTCCTCAAGGAATCAATTCTGAAGCACTTAGAGGAGCGGAAAGTGATCAGGAACAGTCAGCATGGATTCACCAAGGGCAAGTCATGCCTGACTAACTTAATTGCCTTCTATGATGAGATAACTGGCTCAGTGGATGCGGGGAAAGCAGTGGACATGTTATTCCTTGACTTTAGCAAAGCTTTTGATACTGTCTCAGTATTCGTGTCAGCAAGTTAAAGAAGTATGGGCTGGATGAATGGACTATAAGGTGGATAGAAAGCTGGCTAGATTGTCGGGCTCAGTGGGTAGTGATCAATGGCTCCATGTCTAGTTGGCAGCCGGTATCAAGCGGAGTGCCCCAAGGGTCGGTCCTCGGGCCGGTTTTGTTCCATATCTTCATTAATGATCTGGAGGATGGCGTGGACTGCACCCTCAGCAAGTTTGCAGATGATACTAAACTGGGAGGAGAGGTAGATACGCTGGAGGGTAGGGATAGGGTACAGAGGGACCTAGACAAATTTGAGGACTGGGCCAAAAGGAATCTGATGAGGTTCAACAAGGACAAGTGCAGAGTCCTGCACTTAGGACGGAAGAATCCCATGCACTGCTACAGTCTAGGGATTGAGTGGCTAGGCAGCAGTTCTGCAGAAAAGGACCTAGGGGTTACAGTGGACGAGAAGCTGGATATGAGTCAACAGTGTGCCCTTGTTGCCAAGAAGGCTAACAGCATTTTGGGCTGTATAAGTAGGAGCACTGCCAGCAGATCGAGGGGCATTATCATTCCCCTCTATTTGGCATTGGTGAGGCCTCATCTGGAGTACTGTGTCCAGTTTTGGGCCCCACACTACAAGAAGGATGTGGAAAAATTGGAAAGAGTCCAGCGGAGGGCAACAAAAATGATTAGGGGTCTAGAACACATGACTTATGAGGAGAGGCTGAGGGAGCTGGGATTGTTTAGCCTGCGGAAGAGAAGAATGAGGGGGGATTTGATAGCTGCTTTCAACTACCTGAAAGGGGGTTCCAAAGAGGATGGATCTAGACTGTTCTCAGTGGTAGCAGATGACAGAACGAGGAGTAATGGTCTCAAGTTGCAGTGGGCATTTCCTTCCTTAGCGGTTTTTAAGGTCAGGCTTGACAAAGCTCTGGCTGGGATGATTTAGTTGGGGATTGGTCCTGCTTTGAGCAGGGGGTTGGACTAGATGACCTCTTGAGGTCCCTTCCAACCCTGCTATTCTATGATCCTATGATTCTAAGGTGACCGTCGCTGGCTCTCTGTTGCCCCTCTTGCAGCCCCTTCCCACTGGCTCAGGGACTATCCTGTTCTGTGTCTGTACTGTAGTGCCTGCCACATGGCTGGGGCTCCTGCACAACCAGTAACACAGAAATATAAGGATAATAACATGAGGCAAACACTAATGCAATGCACATGCTGCTGGCGGCCTCCCTGCAGGCCCCTCTCCCTCCCAGCTCTGATCAGGTCTCATGGTCGCTCTCTCACTATGAATCATCCTTGCTGACTTGTTTACTGGGACTGCGGATCTCCGCTACGGGTTCTCCCAAACTGCCTCCAGCTTGGAACCCAGGGCAGAAACCAGTGGCTGCTGCCAGAGCTGGGCTCAGGCCCCACAAGTGTCTGGACTTCGGAATGGGGAACCTCAGAAAACTTGATGTAGAGGCAGTAGCCTTGGAGCCAGAAGACCTATTACCCAGCTTTGCCACTGACCTGCTAGTCCTTTCCCCTTCCTGGGCCTGTTTCGCCTCCCTCTGTTGGGATTTTAAACTCGTTTAGGCAGGGCCCAGGGACCCTCGGTGTCCCTACACTGCAGCTGGGAGAGTGCTTCCCAGCATGGGTAGCCAGACACCTGCTCACTGTGCTCAAGCTAACTCACTTGCAGCAGACGCAGCGGCTCAGGCTAGCCACCCATATAATGTACCCAGGGGATCAGGAGGCTGGTTCTTGGGTAGCTAGCCCAAGCCACTGTCTGTGCCACAGTGCCCACAAGGCTATTTTTGGTGCACTAGCTCCAGCAGAGCTAGTGTCTGTCTGTCTTTGTACTGGGAAGCCTCCTCCGTCCCAGCTGCAGTGTAGATGTCCCCTGTGTGTCTTTGCAGAACCTGGCACAAGATGCCGGGAGTCAGGGCTCCTAACTCTGGGAGGGGCATGGGGGGCTAGTGGGTTAGAATGAGGGCTGGTGACTGGCAGTCAGGACTCCTGGGTTCTGTCCCTGGCTCTGGGAGGAGCATGGGGTCTAGTGCGTTACAGTGGGGATAGGGATGGGAGCCAGGATTCCTGGGTTCTGCCTCTGGTTCTGGGCAGGAAGCAGGGGAGACTTGGGAATCTGGCTGCTGTGTGACTGAGCGAGTCATATCACCTGTCTGCCACTCAACAGACCCACCCTTTTAAAATGGGGGTGGTGATGCCAACTGCCTGCCCCTTTCCAGATCTGTGGTTGAAACATGCTACAAAACACATTCTCTGGTTATTTATTGTCTTCTCTCCTCTCCACTTGGGCACAGGGAACCCATGATGCCAGGGAAGGGGGACTGTTGACACTAGCAGAGGATTTGCAGTCAGGTGGGGAATCCTAAGTGGGATGGGGAATGTGGGAAGGAGATGAAGCTGCAGCTGGATCGAGGAATGCAGTTTAACAAGGGGGACTGGAAAGGGGTCAGGAGTTCAAGTGAAAGAGCTGCAGGGGCAGAAACGGGCTGGAAATCCTGGCTCCACACCACAGAGGAATGCGCAGAGGTTGGAGCCCAGTGATCTATGATCAGAAGCAGAGTCCTCTGCTGACACAACAGCGCTGAGGCTCCGTGCAGAGGTCAACTGGCAGCAGATAAGGCCTAGGCCACAGGGCGGTACTGACAGCAAACTGTAGCCTCAGGGACCTTCCCTCCCCACTTTGCAGCTGGAGACATTTACTGGCCTGTAGTTTTCCTTCCCAGCAAACCGGGAGGGTGCCAAGTTGGGGCATCCGGCGACGGAGCCTGATTCCAGACCGCCTGATACAGCACGTAATAATCCCTCATGGAAAGGAAGAGGCATGTTCAACTGTGTTATTCCAGGCTCTGCACAAACCTCTAATCCAGAAACCAACAGCGTTTAATACAGAGTCAGCCTTTGTTATGCAAATAAGTTTCTAATATATAATTACAGCCGCAGGGCAGGTCCCAGCCAGGTGGGTCTGGAAACCAATTTTCTGTTTATCTGTTTGGAAAAACAAACCCTGAAGTCATTTTGCCAATGTCACCACGTACCGTGACAGCATCACCCTGAACCTGGCTCGCAGTGCTACGCAGGGTTACCTTGGGTCAGCGTTTGGATGGGAGACACGCTCAGGGAGTGGGTCGCTCTTCCTGGGCAGTCAGTGTTGGTTCGGACGCTCCAGCGTGGCACCACGGGCCACTGTGCTGTCGGAGCCGGGTGGCGGCTCGGGAGGGGGTGCTCGCCCGTCTCAGTCAGTGCTGACCCCAGTATGGCAGGAGGGAGTGGGGGGAAGGGCACTCTCTGTCACAGTTCAGGGCAACTGCAATTGGATGTCCTGGCCGTTGCCATTCTGGATGGAGACCCACCTCACTTGCCCTCTGAGATGGAGATTCCCAGGCTGCACACCTCCCTGCCTTCACTCCCATTTCCCAGCACGCCTGCTTGCTTTCCCTTCAGAGCCCAGTAGCACAGGGATCCCTGCAGACCACGGTGCCACCCAGCTCTTTGTAAGCAGCCAACGTTCGTCTTAAGGTAAAAGCATAACAGAAAAAAACAAAGAACCTACATGCATGCTAATGAGCTGACCAGGACCCCACCCTACGAGGGACTCTGGCAGGAGCAGTGCGTGTGGTGACCAACCCAGAAAGCACCCAGTCTTCTGGGGCCTCAGGCGACCCAGTTTGTCCAACTCTTCCCAAAGGACTGGAGCCCCCACCTGGAGCAGCGTCCTCTCTCTTTGCTGGAGCAGGAAGATGCA